TAGATGCGATCCTCACTTACACTTTAACTGTTTTGAATGAAAATTGAATAAATTTTAAAACCCCAATCACCATAATTTACAGGAATATTTATGTTTCATAATAGTTTTTTTTTTTTGAAAATTGTTATTTATTCGAACTATCCGTATCGCCAACACATAGTAACCAAAACTGTAAAATCCAGATGTTAATCGAGAGATGATTCAAGTTTGCTAAATTAATTAGTCCGCTCCTGTATCAAACTTTCAACAGTAACTAAATATTCAGTTTGCTAGCTCATATTCGCAACCTCGCGTGGACTTCGGAACGAAACTTACTTGAACTTTACTAACAAATTGTCACATTTGTGAAATTAACAACTTAAAAGCCAAAATACAATCAACCAAAACGCTTTTCTTGTTAATATTATAAAATACTTCATGCTTTTATGGATTATATTCTTGCTTGCCTTATTCCATATCACAACTTTATCTTATATAATTTTATAACTTCAAAGGAATTAATAGCTCTAACGATTTGAATCAAATTTTGTATTCAGATCGAGATTTGCTTTTTAAGTTTATAAAATTATTACATATCAAAAACATCCTTTGCGAAAAAATTTCCTATGCGTTTTCTGTGTATTGGTTTTAAACAACAAAACAAACAGTTTTTTTCAATCCTAATCGCTTTCATGCTAACAGATCAGTTGAATATTAGTTAAAAAAAATCCATAATATCTCATGCATATTAGCTTAACGGTGGGCCCTCCGCAGGGCTCGATTCTCGGCCCATTGGTTTTTCTCATTTACAACAATGATTTATCTTACTTAGTAGGGACATAAACGTTAATGATTTACCTTATTTAGTATATGTATATAAATATGATATAGTGTTGTTTGCCGATGATACTTCATTAATTTTTAAAATCAATCAACATCTAATTACACTTAGCTTTTATTAAAATTAATAAAACTAAATGTATAAAATTTTCAGTATCTATCCAATTTTAAACACTTGAGTGGTTGTAATGTTCTGATAAACGGGGAGGAGTTAGGCCGTGTGGATACTGTTCTTCTTGGAATAACTCTTGTTGAAGAAATCTTGAATGATGGAATAATCTAGGAATGTCAAATACCCAGTTTTTGGACATGTTAAGGATATATAATTATGTTCATAATTTTTTGAGGCACTGCATTGATGAACATATTTACGTCCAAAAACTAGGCATTTAACATTTGTAAGCATATTTGATCTAAATTTACATCATTTATTTATTTCATTTTATCTTTATATTTCATCATTATTTTTTTACGTATTACGTTTAAAACAGACAATTTTTGTATACTCAGACAAAAATAATATTGATTTTCATTCCTTAAACGCCACCTTTAAGTCAAATCAATATTTGTATGTCAATACGGGTCTGACATAATTTATAAATATAAAAATATGCTAATTAACTATGTCACGCACATATTTATACGAATACTTACATACGAATGCTATTAGCTCAGTCAATTTAGCTCAAAAATTAGTTAGCTAACAATAATAAGCTCTTGCTGAAGATTGGTCAGAATGCCGGAAACAATAATTTAAATGAATTAACTCCAATTATCTGACAATAGTCCACTTTCAATTTTTTGTACCCAAAGGCTAAACGGGACCCTATTACTAAGGCTCCGCTGTCTTTTTGTCTGTCTGTCCGTCTGTCACCAGGCTGTATCTAATGAACCGTGATGAGAAAGTTGAAATTTTCACAATTAATGATGTATTTCTGTTGCCGCTATAACAACAAATTATATATATTTGTAACGATTTAAGAACTAAAAAATGGAATAAAAAAAAATTATGTGGGGCTACCATACTTTTTATAAATTATTTTGCTGCGCTTTTTATGTGAGAACGTGGCAAGTTGGCGGTTTATCAGATGTTAAATGATAACCGCCGCCCATAGACAAACAAAGTGGGCTCCGGTTACCTCACTCACCACACGAAAAAAACGCAGAAATGTAACGCTGTCACTTCACTTTACTTATACGTACTTTCCCGAACGAACCCGCCCATTCGAGCAGCAGTGATAACAAATTACAAATTAAGTAAGTACTTACTTTATTTCCAAAAATATTATATAACGACTAAGAATATAAAGACTGCTGCGTCCCTACCACAGGAAAATACATATCGTGATTGAATTGCTTAAATATTTTAATTTTTTTTTACGGTGGTAGCGCCATGCAGCACCCACGGCTGTTGCACGAATGGGCAGGCCCGTCCGGGTAAGTACCACGACATCACAGAAGACCAGCGTAAAGTGGAAGCGTATGACAAATACTTTCGCGTTTCGTCTGGTGAGTGAGGCAGCCGGAGCCCAATTTTCAAAAGGTTGTCAACGCATCTGTAACCCTCGGGTTTAGCAGATGTCCCGGCGGTATTCACTTAACATCAGGTGACCCGTCTGCTCGTTTGGCAACTTTTCGCATAAAAAAATTAAACATAGCAACCATTAAAGATGCAAAATAAATAAGTAATCAATTTATGCAAAGTAGGTACTTGTACAAATACAAAGTAGGTAAGTTAATATCTTGTTTAAATTTATTTGCTAGTGCCAAGCCACCATTTACGCCAAAATAACCTCACTGTCCACTTTACCAAGGAATGCTAATTTTAATATTACTTTTATAAACTTCTTCTAGACCTTACCTTGAAATGTTCTATTTTAACGTGGGTGTTCTATTGTGTTCTATTGTAACTTTTGCAACTACAAAAATGCTCGGTGAAAAATTTCACTGAATGCTGATCTTACTGTAAGGAAAGGTTTAGAAAATAGTTTTAATAATACGTTACTAGTTGGAGATTTTAATCTAGCGCCTATAAATTGGAAATTGATAGACATTTTATATTCGTCTATTCTATTCAAACATGCTGAATAATTAACTAAGCATTTTTTTACACTTTAAATTTAAGTAAGTACTTTTAAGTTAATTTACTTTTTTATTTATCCCTTTTTATCTTAATAATAGCATAAAAATATGAAATCTTAATATCTTGAGATCTTGTATGAAACACATTCATACAGTAGAAGAAAGTAATAAGTAACTTTAATCGTCGTTGACCAGTGCATTTTACCCTTAGTGGAGGAACCAATGTTGCATACGAAACCTAATTTTTTTGCCTTGGTTATAACAAAATAAACTTTTCGCCAGATCTAGACACGCGGTAATGTGTCAAGCCAAGTTCAAGCTAACAGAATGGCGAGCAATGCCGTGTGTAATATGACACGAACCCTTTGGAACAAATTTCGACCCTCTCATGACTCAAAAAAAAAAACGTTCAAGCACGAGTCGAACTCGTACGCCGAGGGTTCCGTAACTAACACTTATATCGCCATAATAAAATTGATAAATAATTATCACCGATTTTCTCAAGAACACTTGGAGGTCCCTATTACGTGTATAAAAATCAAGGCCATGATTCAACACAAAAAGGCTAAGGATCTTAACTAGCGAAAAGGAAACACTCGGAAGCCCAATAACAGATATGGAAAATCTATTCAGAGCTAGTGAAAGTAGAAAATTCTAATTAGAATTAAATACTTTAAAAAAGGATACCAGCTGACCCAGAAAAGCTGAAGAAGGAGTGGCACCAGTACTTTAAGCAACTACTGAATTGACCTTGTTACTCGCTCTGGATCCTCTATCAATCATGGATTAAGCCTTCTGTTCAGTTCTAATCGCCTCGGATCGTATCGGTTCCCTTCTTCAAAATATTTGCAACTAAATATATTATGTATATTAAACAATAAGTCCCTTTTTTCCAAAGTCCTAGATATTTCCGATGATCCGAATGGCGTAGTGGGTAGTGTGCCTACCTCCTGCGCCAGAGGATGTGGATTCGATCTCCAACTCTTTTACTGCGAAAATATTGTGTGATGAACATGCCTGAGTGTTTATACATGTATAATATGTATTTATTTACAAAAAAAAGTATGTTTAAGCATGTTTATCAGTGATCTAGTACCCATAGTACAAACGATGGTCAGTTTGGGACTAGAGAACGTTGTGTAAAAATGGGTCCAAAAATATTTTTTATTTTATTTATATTTATTTCATCACTAATTTTTGTAATATTTTTTTATGGATAGGAGGCAAACGAGTAGATAGACCTCCTGTTGGTAAGTGTTCAACACCACCCATGGACACTCACAACACCAGAGGAATCAAGTTCTTTGAGGAAGAAATAGACTCTCTTCTTGAAGGTCCCTAAGTAGCATCAGACCCGAAATACTACTGGCGACAATTAATTCAAAACCTTGGTTGTAAGTGGTATAAAATTATGTGAAAAACAGGCTGCTCATATCTTGACAAAATTCAGCAGCAGGAATTAATCTGAACAACTCCTTAGAGCACACCCCGATATAAATGCAATAAAAAATGAAATGAGGTGTCATGTTAATTCGCGGTTAATGTCATAATGCATCATATGTGTATTGATAAATACCATTGATAAATAGGCTGAATGGAGAAATCCATAGCCCCGAAACTATAGTAAAAAAATTAAAAATAATACACAATAATTGTTGCCAATCTCAATTAGTGATTGTCATGTTCATACAGTTTTCTGTAGGGATGACATTAAGCAAATAGTTGAACAGACGGCCGGTTTCTGAAACACTTATCAGAAACCGGGCGAGAGTGTTTAAAGTTACCTATACGCTAAGAATATGCAAAGGACTATCTAGTAACATTAAATACGAAACCAGAGTTGTGATAAAAAATATATCGAAAGTGACACGAATTCGATAGTCTAAAATAAATATCAAATATCGATATTTTATCTATCGATATTGTTTGCTCGTACCTAGTTTTATGTCATCTGTCATAGCTGGCATAGATAGCTCTAAAAGTCTAAATGCTCAGGAACCCGGTTAACCAAAACATTATATTTTCTTTTGATTACATGTTTAATACCTTGTAATAAGTAACCTTTATTATATATTTGCAGTTTAATCTTGATACTTATAATGTCACACAACATTGAAGATGAAGTTTTAGATATTAAGGTACGTTTAATGATTTTAACGTAAAACAAGTTACAATATGTTATTACATGCTAACAGCTAATAAATTAACAATAATCTTAAACTCAATATGTTACAGGTACCACCAATTTTTGAAGATTTAAACGATCGTGTAAAGGAATACCTACTAAGACCCGAGCGTCTTTCCATACATAAATGGGAAAGATCACAGACTCATTGGCATAGGCAAACCGATGTAGATTCTCTTGTTAAATTTGAAGATGATGACTTTGGTATTGACACCACACTTGAAGTAGGTAACAAAAATGTATAATTGAATAAATCGACCTATCCGTAGAATAAAGTTACTTTTGCATAATCGTAATTTTACAGGAGAGCGATTTGAAATTTGCCCAGCATAAAATTTGGTATAAAATTTTATTGAATTGTTGTAGAGTATTGGTTATTTTCCTGAACATGTACAATTTTATTGAGCTCTGTTTTTATGAAAACACCAAATGTAAAACCTATTTATCGGAATTTAAGAGTGTTTATGTACATATGTGACAATTTATTATGGACAAATCTGCGTCATATTTACTTATAAAACCTTATTCTTGGTATTAGTGGTGGTACCATGTGTATGTCTAACTTTATTTTATGCATATACACTATGTTGAAAAGTTTTATGTGATAAAAATTGAACATCACATTCATAAAAAAAAACAAATTTAACATTTTTTTTGGTGAAAAGTTGCCAAGCGAGCAGGCGGTTCACCTGATGTTAAGAGAAAACCGCTACCCATAGACATCTGCTACACCCGAGGGTTGCAGATGCGTTGACAGCCTTGTGAAAATTGGGCTCCGGCTACCTCACTCACCAGACGAAACGCGAAAGTATTATACTTCCACTTGACGCCGGTCTTCTATGAGGTTGTGGTACTTACCCGGACGAGCCTACCCATTCGTGCAACAGCTGAGGCTGCAGCGTGGCCCTACCACATAAAAAATAAAAGAACTTCTAAAATTGTAATTATTATAATATAACTGTAATAACATAATTTTTAAAATTGTATAATCTAACATAAATAAACAATTTTAATTATGATATTAATAATCTCAAAAAATAATTTTTCCTATTCTACTTGAACAATAAAACAGATAGGTAGGTAATAAAAATGATTTAGCACAAAACATATATAGTAGATAACAGGCAATATAAATAAGATTATTGTTATTATTCTTCACTATCGTTACTTATATATAATTATTCTCATTGTTCACATCCGCATATTGAGCAGGTATAATTCCCAAATTAATTAAACTAATGAGATCCTTATGTTTATCTTTCGATAAATTGAATGGTGTTTTATAAGCTACTTCGGTGCGGTAAGTACTTGAGGATATGGCTTGTTCGGTTCAGATTTGTCCATAAATTCTTCTCTAATACAATCCCAGAACACTTTTTCCGTATTCTTGCACCAAACTTTGTTATTCACGTGTGCTTTTAAATCAGAAACTGATCTATTGTCATGTTCCGGACTTCATTCGGGGACATCATTCATCTTGGACCTCTTCGGGGGTCACTGAATTTAAAGGTTCGCCTTCCGGTGGAAGCGCAGCCCTAGTCTCAATTACGTGGTCCACCTCCGTTAGGTGGACTGAATCGGTGTGTTCGCGCGATGGCGTACATTGCTGCTCTAGGTTGTCCGCAAGGCATTCGGCTTTTTTCGGAGTCATCTAGGGCTACTGAAGCGCTATTAGGTCTAACTAACGGCGGTAGAGATTCGCGGGGGTCTGCTTTCAAACTGCGGGCCAACCGCCAGTAGGCGGTGTGCGATGGCTCGATGTTCTCTAGGAGAGTCCCACGTTGTGTGTCGGTGTTCCGATACACGATCTTTGACTTCTAGCTGAAGGCGTCGAAGTAGAGTTCGGTTCGATTCCGATCGGTATCAGTCGAAGGCGCGTTTGGCTGCATTTTTCTGTCTAATTAGCAGTCTTAGGTCGGGCGGAAAGTTAAACCGTCGGTCGCCCGACAGTTTCACCGTCCGTTCCGAGTCTGTGACTGCGGAAGTAATAGTTTCTCGGAGACTCGCTATCGCTCGATTTGCGTCATCGAACGTAGCTATCGTCTCGGGTAAGTCCACTAAGTCCTGGGGGTCCAAGGCCTTGAGTTTTGACCTCAAGACGATGCCAGTCCACTACGGATTTGGTCGGAGGGACCGCGCCGGCGTTCTGGCCCAGTTTACACAGGACGGGCCTGTGGTCTGAGTCTAGTTCATGGATTGTCTCTATCGACTCGATGTCGAGCGAGACCTCCCTGAATAACATGATGTCTAGGACACTCGGTGACGCGTGTTGGTAGTTGTCCACCGTAGGATACCTAGTGGGAGCCGCGGGAGCGACTATGCTAAAGTTTAGGTTATCGGATAAGCTAAAGAGATGCTTTCCGTTGTTATTTGGGATGCTGTTGGTGTCCCATGAGCCGTGTTTGCAGTTTAGATCTCCTGCAATTATCACGGAAGGGTCTAAGTTAAGAAGCGTATCTAGTTCGCTTTGAAGTAAGGTTTTATTCCCGAGAGGTAGGCTGAGACTCGTACAAGCGGCCTGTGGCCGGTGAGCGCTAACCTACACGCGGATGCCTCTATTTGACTTAGCTCTGGGATGTCGAGCGGGCAACAGTGCAAGGACCGTTTATAATAAATTAATGTACCTCCCAGATGGTTTGCTAACCGGTCGTGGCGGACAATATTGTAATTTGCGATTCTGGGATCGCGTACCTAGTTTCAAGAATGTCTCTTGCACTAGGAAAATATCTACGTTGTAGTCGCGAAGGAATTCCGCGATTTCGTCCCTTTGACCCTTTATGCCGTTTGCGTTGAAATACGAAACAACCAGAGCCCGAGGTTTTGTTCTACCTGCGGTTGTACTTCCCATTAAGGTGTTTTTATGGGTCTAATTAACGACGCGGCGGAGCGCGATTTTATTGCGCGGACTATTGTCTTTTACGGTTGGCTCGTAAAAGCCCAAAGGGCTTCCACAAGCGTTTTATGTTGGCTAATTGCCCTAAGACGCTCGTTGCCAGATGTGGCGGCCGCTATTTTAGCGGACAATACGGCGAGTTCCTGCCTATTGATCCTATCTAATAGGCTGCAGATGTTTGCGATTTGCGCGAATGGGTCGTCCTTGTTTTCCGCGAAAACTGACGGAGTTGGCTGCACCTGCGGCCGCGGCGCCGTTTGAGAGGCGGGCAGCTGTTGTGCGATCGGTCGTGAGGTGACCGGGATTACCGGCGTGGTTACCTGCGCGGCCACCTTGGGTTTCGCCCAGGCGTTAGTGACGGGTACGGGCGCGGGAACGTATTTAACGGGCGCGGGTTTGGGCAACGTAGATTTCGCGGGAGATTTTCTCGCGGGAGTTTTCGGGGCCTTAGCGCAGCCTCTATAACTAGCCGGGTGGCCGGTAGCGTGACAGTTTACGCAGTCAGGTGGATCTGCGCAATCTTTTGGCCTCGTGCACTCGGTTGTGCCGTGGTCACCGGTGCATTTGACTTACCTAGGGTGAGCGAAGCAATTATTGGCCGTGTGGCCAAAATGTTGACAGTTGTGGCACTGTGCCACAACACCTGATTTGCGCGGGGGCTCGATGACTAAGTCACTGAGCCCACAGACCCTCTTTAGGTTGAAGATGGCCTTACCTTCCGGGGTAGAGCCAAGTTCCACCATGACCATGTCCATAGGGACACGGGTTCTAGGGTGCCTAAGACGTCGTACTGCATGTACGGGGTATCCCTGAGTGCGGATGTCGACTTTTGCCTTATCGACATCCGACTCTTTGGGGACGCCCTTTATTACTACCCGAAGTTTACGCTCTTCGGGCAACGAGTAGGTGTGAAAACCTACCTTATTTTCGCGTAAATACTTGGTTACGCGGCGGAAATCGTCTGTTGTGTCCAGGTATACGCGGATACCCATGTGTGTATTTTTTGACCGGAGGTCGCGGATGTTGTGGCGTTCAAACCACGAGCATACTTGATGCCACTTTGCCTTTTCTTGAATAATTATTGGCGGCGGTGGCTTAATTTTTCGCTCGGAGGCGAATTCGGGTACCAATTGGGCAGCTGCCTTTTTGGCGGGCGTTGCGGTGGGACGGTTAGATGGGGCGGCCTCGCATTCGGGGTCGCTGTCAGTTGGGGCGTTTTTTGCCCTTTTTGCGCGACTTTACAACGGTGAAGCCGTCGGCGTTCGCGTTATCAGCGGGGGTCGTTTCGACCTCCATGTCCGAGCCGCCGTTCGATTGTGAGTCGGGAACGACATCGCGGAAGGGGGCCGAAATTGGTTGCGCGGAAGGCGCGTTGGGTTCGTTCGCGGCGGCGGAAGTCGACGCGACGGGCGTTACTAGTGTCGCTGAAGGCGACTCTTTGCTGGCGCAGAGGGCACCGGAGATGGCGGCGAGGCAACTGCTGCCGGGTTGTCGCTAGCGTATTCGACGACGCGGCGTTTCTCCGCGGCGAAGGCGAGAAAGCTGCGCCACATTTCGGGGCATCGTTCGCGAATGAATTCCTCTAAGAGGGAACCCATAACGGCGCTTGAACCTTTGGGGCTTGCGCCCCGCCGGCGTGTAGTTTCTAAATAGGCCTCCCCACCTTGCGGCAGGGAAGTGTGTGCCTAAAACTAACAACTATTTCACCTGCGCTTTAGGTGAACACTGAACTGCAGCACTGCTGCACAAAGATTTAATTTGCAACCGAAGTTGCGAGTAGCGTCTAATTCGGGTGGCATGAGCCCTCCGTCTTAGAGAGACGTCCGTTCCGTACGAGAGCACGAAGTGGAATGGCGTTAGAGCATCGTTATTTGCAATCTTAGATGAAAAAAGCTGGGTATCTGTTACATCATTTTCAGCAACATGAAGACGCATAGGGCCAGATATATTTGTAGTATTAACTGTTGTTAAATCATTTTTTATCTGTGGTCTTCCCATCTTCTCGTTAATGCTTCACGATAGACAGCAACTTTTCTAAAAACCAAATATCATTACAATAATAATATCAAAGTAATCAACAAAACGAACTGACGTTAAATATTTATAAAAAGATCTGGAAGAACACTTAATAGTAAAATAATTTACATATTATTAGGCTTTTATGGTAATATTCAGTTGGAAAAAAGGTATATCTCCAAAACAAACCAAGAATAAAGTAATATTTACGCATAGGCCTCATAATTTACAAATCGTTTCCAGCGAAGAAAGTAACATTTTCAAATATAACCCTAAACTTTTGCGTATTATTTCCTAACAATACAGTAGTATATTAAAATGTATTTATCGGATTAATTATTGATTTTTACATTTAAATTAGTAGTTTGTGTATGAAATAAATACATAATTAATTTATTGTTTCATTTTCAAATAATTGTAAAAATCCGATTTAAAAAAGACACATATGAACATGGTACGACTAATTTCCATTTTTTGAAATTTTGAATTATCTATGGGAAAAATATAGCTAAAATCTTAAAAATTGCTAACTTTTTATATTAAATAACCAAATGAGTTACCCATATCTGCTTGCTTACCTGAAATATCCATTTCGCCGTTATATTTTCCCGTGGAAGCAAATATGGCACTATTTGTTTTTTTTTTTCATTTTAGGCTTCGATACAAGACTTAGGATATAATTAGTGCGCGTGCGTTTCATTTTCACATAATAAAATAACTGCTTTTATTAAAAATATATCTCGTATTCGCTGAATGTAGCAAAGACGTGCACAAAAGTCGTCTCACAGAGAACAAAGTCAGGTCTGCTGATGTGTCCCGCCGCGCACTCAGCCTTCGCGCCGTTTTCGACAGCGAATAAAGGTACTTGTACTCTCAATATCTTATTCTTTGGAGAAATGTACCACATGTGCCATTATTCGACTGCTATCTTCGAAACTACATAACTTAACAAAATACCGATTTTACTAATACAATATTTAGGACGACCTAGCTTTATTCCTACATAAAAACCGTTTTGGTGACAAAGTCATATGTAACTCTGTTCTACGGATAGGTCGAAATATTTAATTTTATATCAAATTAAAAACTATGAAATTGTTGAAATGTAATGTATTCTGAAATTGTTATGAAATATATGTATTATTATATATCGTAATATATCACATTAATATTAAAATACTTTTTAACATTTTTTTTATTACTATATTGTAAAAAAAATTATGTACACATACTGTAATTGTCAATTACATCTATTTCATTAAGCCTTCATGCTAATACATAAGTTAATAAATTAAATAAGTAACTTTTATTAAAAATCTAATTTCTAACAAAAAATATTTGTATAGTTGTAGGTTCATAATAGTGTACCTACCTTGAAAATTGTTTAATTTACAATGATAATTTTGTTCTATAAAAGCACCAAATCTTTTATTTTAAAATCAATTCAACAGGTAGTAAGGGACCCCATCACTGGTGAAATCACAGGAGTTGAAGAAGTGAGTATACCAGTTGAGGATGATGAAGACAGTTTATCAATGTCAAGAGCACCTTTACCACCTAGCCTTGCTACTCGGGGTACCACAACACAAAATCCTTTTTTGCCAGCAGGGTTTGAGGAGGAAATACAAAAAATGCTAGATGAAGCAGCACAAAGTGGTGAAATTAACATAAATCTAGAAGATGATGAGCCTGGGAAATTTTTGGGAGAAGGTAAGACATCCTTTTATCTGAATTACTATTATACTCTTAAGTATTTTTATAATATACCTGTATATGGGCTATTTAAATATATGTTTCCAATTGTAATACTTTTATTTTCCAGACATTTTAACAACTCCACCTGGAAGCAAAGAAAGTGTACTTTTTGCAAATGATGGTGTTACTCTTTTAAAAGAAAGCACTATTGAAAGTGAACAAACTGTACTAGATAGACATAATGATGATAAATTTATTAAAATAAACCTTGAAGAAGTGGTAGATAGTAATGTGCATTTAGTAGGTATGCTACAAAATTTATGTTGAATTATCCATCTTATAAACCTATTTCAAATTTTTTATAACATATTTTTATAGATCTCTGGAAAGACGAAGAATCTGAGTCAAAATCTGCTAAATTGATACAGAAGCCAAAGAATGTACAGCTAGACAATGATACTGCCGAAAGTGATAATTTCCTGGAGAATACTGTAATTCAGCCCCCCATAGAACTCCCAGAAATACCAGTTTTAAACATCAGCAGTTCCAAAGGGAGGATGGCTGTCACATCCACAGAATGGGCTGAGATGATTGATGTCACACTCCCTGTACCCGATTTTAGAGAAAAAATTAAGGACATGGCACATTCATATCCATTCGAATTAGACAACTTCCAAAAGCAGGTAGTGATGGAAATTTATGTAATTGTTTTTTTATATATTATTAAAACTTACACCATATTCCAATTCCAAATTTTGCATTTACATAAATTTTTAATTAATATCTAGTGAAATAAAAAAGAAATGAGTACAAGAATACATTTTATATATTAACATTTAGCATTCATTTTACATTAATGTTTTTCTTTGCCATTTATGGGAAGCCTCATTGTTATTGATGCATTTTTCCAAGCATGTGTATTAGAGCAGAATTTTTTTTTATAGAAATAATATATTTTTTAGGCTATCATAAAACTAGAAGAAGGCCACCATGTGTTTGTCGCTGCTCATACATCGGCAGGAAAGACAGTAGTAGCAGAGTATGCTATAGCAATGTCGAGGCGAAATTGCACCAGGTAAGTATTGTTTCTGGCTCTCCTTGCATGTGTATACAATTAGTCATACATTTTTTTAAGATAAAGGGTAGTGTGGATATTTTATCCTAAATAACTTGATATTGAAAAGAGGTAACAAGGATGACATCAACATTGAATAAATAACTCTAGTTTCTGTTAAAACTATAGATTTCTGAGAAGTAATGTTTCTTTATATAATAATTTATTAAAAACATCAGCCAAAAATACAGCCAAAGCAGTGATATCTTATTGGTTACTTGTGCTGGAGAATACAGTTTTAAACCATACAGTAAAATTGCTAGTATTTTCTTTAAAAAAAATGTTATTTTTTTTTTTTTTTCAATTACATAAACTAAAATTGCAATGTGATGTCAGAGACTTGACAGATTGACTTGTGTATAATGTAGTTAGTTATAGTCGATGTCATGTATAGCCAACAGTTTAATGAGTGCACAATTGTTGCAGAGCGATATACACCTCTCCAATCAAGGCCCTGTCGAACCAAAAGTACAACGACTTCAACAAGATGTTCGGCGAGGTCGGTCTGCTAACTGGTGACTTGCAGATCAACGCGACCGCCTCCTGTCTCGTCATGACCACGGAGATATTGCGATCGATGCTCTACTGCGGCTCCGACGTCACCCGGGACCTCGAGTTTGTTATATTCGACGAAGTGCATTACATCAATAACGCTGAGGTAAGGCTTGCTACTTAAAGCGCTGTATGCGGTAAAAATAGGGTTTTCAAAACATTTTTTAACAAAATCTATACATATCATAGAAGCAATAAAAATATATGTTAATCTTGATCTAGAATGTATCTAATGGACCATTGTTTTCAAAACATATTCTCGATAGAAAAAATCACGAATCTACCTTTAAATGTAAAATTGAAATAAAAAAATAGATATAATAAATGAACAAATCTTAATGAAATTAATATCAGTGGTGTAGAATATATTAATAAAAAGGACTGTTGTCTTAATTTGTTGATTGAAGTAAGATATTTGTAAATATTAATTTAATTCTTTAAAATTAATTCGAACGCGATGGCACACCGCGGCGTTATTTCGGTTCTCTTTCAACTCCACACGTTGAACAGAGAGCGCTGAGGCGCCTTGCTAGACGGACCTATGCCGCTCATCGCCCGCTCACCGTTACAAAATATGTTTCGTATTTATTTATTATTGAGAGTTTTAATTTTATTAGACCTTAGAAAACACGAAACTAAAAAATATTTATTCACATATTTCGTATTTATAAATTACTTGTATGTATTAACAGTTGTTAATTAATTTATTCAAAGCATAATTTCAATGTCTTATCTCGTGATTGATTGGTCTATCAGTCCTATAAATACAGTGTATAGGACCATCATTCTTTATGGATTGGGTTCAAATTTTTGTTGTACTTATTGTTAATTTTCTTATTTGGAAGTATTTCTTAATCACCATCTAATTATTGTTGATTATTTTATTTTCATAAATAATTACAACGGAATATTATTGTATTTGTTCAAAGTTGAAACAGTCGGAGAACAATCTATCAGTAAATAAACCAACTTTTAGTATTAATATTTTTTAACGGCATCTATTTTTTTATTTATTATATATTAAAACGAAAATTTATCTTATACACGAAAAATAATTATTTTATAACTTTTTTTATAATTTGTTTAATACCCAAATTGAGCCATTTTATAAAATAAAAACAAAATAATTAGTTGGCTAACAAATTAAAAGTGAAAATAATATTAAAAATTAAACTCCACTCGATGAGTGATTTGAACTTGGGACTACAGCAAGAGTTTACCGATGTGTATGACGCTCGGACCAACAAGCGACGCGAGGTCTGTGCAAAGTGACAAAATTTCGATTCCAGTTATAATTGCTGTCGTTTATCGGTACAAATAAGGATTTTATCGATAGTTTTCTAAATTTCATTTTAGTTGAAAAAGTAATATAACATAGTAAGTCTTGAACATTTAAAGGATAAATTAAAATTCCTAATATATAAAAAAATGTAATAAAAAAGTTGTATTCGTAATTCATCGACGCGCAAAGAAGAAGAAGATTCGTAATTTCTGCAAAAATTCCATTCCAAGCCATTTCTTTAAAATCACGATATAAACCAAAAAAACAAAAAATAATAATTATAAGTAATTTGCCTTTATTAGTTTATTTGACTTTAAGATGTATTTTTAATCAATTCCTTTTCCATTTAATTAAAAGATAATAATAAACAGAAAGAAAATTTTCTCAAATTGTTGATTGCTTTCTCATACTTTATATTTGTTTGTTTATTATTCCTATTATAATATAAAAGTACAATACAATCATGGTCTATAAAAGATATATATTATAGGGATCATCTGTGTACATTTTCGAAAGCCTTTCAAGATACTATCGATAGTATCCTACGGCCCATCGCTACACACACTAGGTAAAGAATGACTTGGTCTAGCGGCGCGTCGACGAAACTCGCGCGCTTTGCCCCGCTAAGCGGCGTTACCCCTCCTCCGCTTCCTCATACTTCACCACCCAAATAGTTGAAAATTCACTGCATACAGCGCCTTAAAATCCTATTACGAAAGTTCACTCCGGTAAAACGTCACATTAAACGTGAAGTATACTAAAACTATAGATTTATATAGACCAAAAATACATAAAAGGCATTTAGAGGTAATCCATCCTATCAGACCATTCCGTGATCACGGAAAGCAGCTTTCGCAGATGTCCATAGATGGTAGTAATTACTTATAATCAGATGAACAGCCGATTGCCACCTTCTCACATAAAAAGAAACAAAAACAGCTTGTATATAAAGTTACACTACTTTAGCTTTTTTTTAACTGAGTCGTTACGGTAAATTTTACCATTTCCCCATGTCTTGTAAACATAACGTTCTATTTATAAATAAAATTTCTCAAAAGAATATAGCTACAAAATCTTTTTTCTTATAGCGTGGCTACGTATGGGAAGAGGTGCTGATACTGCTACCGGCTCATGTTAGCATCGTGATGCTGAGCGCGACAGTACCCAACACGCTGCAGTTCGCGGACTGGGTGGGCAGGACTAAGAAGCGCAAGGTCTTCGTGGTCTCCACTCCGAAGCGGCCGGTTCCGCTCTGCCATTACCTATACACGGGTATACTCGATTGTACCTAAAGTAAAAAGCTAGAAAACAATAATGGGAGAAGGTTGAAACTTACTTAGGTCCAAACCTTTCAATGGAAACTATGTGTTTCAAAACTCCGAAACTTCGATAGCATGTAAAGTAATAAATAAATAAATTTAAAAAATCAGAACATATTTTTACACAACGTCATCTAGACTATGGGTAACTAATAAACGTGCTTTAACATACTTTTATTAATCACATAATATTTTTGCAGTACTAGGGATCGAACCCACACCCTCTGGCACAAGAGACTATCTTCCACGCCACTCGGGTCGTCAATAACAAGTTTGTTGCGTCTATTTCGACTATTACTGTATTATTTAAAAAAATACGGATATTAAATAAATTACGGATGTTCATAGGGACGGGTGGCAAATCTAAGAACGAGAGGTTCATGATTGTGGACCAAGAAAGTAACTTCCTACTTAGGGGCTACAACGACGCTGTGGCTGCAAAGAAATCACGCGAGAACGATTACAAGAAAAGTTTCGGCCCAAAAGGTGGGTGATTTCAAAATTTTAGATAATATAGAAAATTCTATTCTATTCATACATATTTTGAAAAGAAATTATCTTCATTACTTCATTCGTTCGATGTCGTGTCTCCACGGACATCTGATCCGTGATCAAATGAATATACGTTTCATTCAAAATCAACAGTATTTGTGTAAGAAATTATAGATAAAGAAAATTTTAGATTTTTATTAGCATTGCCATGAATATATTTTAAATACAGATTTCTTTTTGTGATAGTTGCCTTTTTTATCCCTTTAGTAATCCACCGCGCTCTCATATTTTTATTTACTATTTTTATTCTAATGTGTGGAAAGCACAAATTATAAAAAACTAAAAATAGGTCATGAAAATAGTCAAAAGCTACGTCAACATCTTCTATTGTATATATGTCAGACCAGGATAATGCCCGCATGCAATGATTAAACTTAATCATATTACTTTTACAATAATCTTTTCTATATTCAAACCAGTATGTAGTTATATGTTTTTCAGACATATTTACGCTGAGGGTCTGAGCTGTTTCATGATCTGACAAACCCAGAAAATTTAAATAAAGGCGAGCGCCCGGACACTGAGCTATCACTTTGCATATTCAATTTGAATTAATGCTGAATTTAAAATAGTTTGTTTAAAACAAACAGTTAGCCCAGCATTTTTGTTTCCAATAACTAATATCACTGTTTTCTTTGCTATGTTTATAATATATATATATATTGTTTGTCTTGTTGTTGCTCGACAGGTGGGAAACAGTTTATGAACCCGAAAGCGGAGCAGACTATGTGGGTTGCGTTTATAGATCACTTGAGACACTGCGATAAACTGCCCGTCGTTGCCTTCACGCTGTCCCGGAACAGGTAAACTCTTCTTTTTACGTTCGTTAGTATGTTTGTATGTTTCTGTTGGTATGCTTGTTTCTCTGTTGCACTCTTAGAGATCAAACGCGTGTGCCGATTTTGATGGTTCTTAAGTCGATTTAATTGTCTCAGTTTTTCGAGTAAATATAAAGACATGACAGTAGTAAAAATTCAATATGGCGATGTGACGTACTTACAAAATGGGATAATATTTTCTATTTATTTATCTATTTATATACAGTGTGAGCACTTTTTATGAAAGAAGAAACTGTGTCTACTTTTAATGTGAATGACTTGTTACTCTTATCTTGTATATTTCTGAAGTAATCTGATAATTTTCACTTCAGCGCACAGAATATTTTAATGGATATATTTATATTGTATTTCCATCGTCGTTAAGAAATTCGTTAAGAAAATAAGGAAATGTTAATAAATAATAAATTAATAATTATTCGACATTTTGATAACCAAACAGTAAAAAAAGCTATGTTCTTGACATTGTATTTATCCCGTAGGATCTAACCCACAACCTCCGGCGCAAGAGACTGGCTCACTAGCTACTACACCAACAGGGCCATCAAACTGACAATGGTTGAATTTTTCTGTGGGAATTTCAGGTGCGACATGAACGCCGAAAATTTAATGTCCGTCGACCTCACGACGGCCAAAGAAAAGGGTCACATTCGCAACTTCTTCCAGAAATGTCTACAGCGTCTGAAAAAGCCCGACAGGTTATTGCCACAGGTATAATAAGACGTTACAACGAATTTAACCCCATTAAATTGAACGAATCGTTATCTTTCTGCCATTAGTCGTACCCCCGCTTCCTACTTTCCTTCTACGCATTTATGTATAATTATATATTTTATCTAGCCTAGTAACGCCGCATATCCACATCGGCATCTTCATTTCAGCTACTTGGATGGTACGGACACGTTTTCGTACATAAGAATTGGACTAATGTATGTCTTGTAAATTGAGTTCAACCGGCATTCTCTTGTCACATGCAACGCCAGGCACTTCGCGCCATTTCAACCGTACAGCGGCTAGTCTGTGTTAAATGTCGTATACCAAAATCCCAGAATTGTGCAACATCGTACACAGGCATTTATAATGATCGTACACGGTAACCAATTGCGCATCGATGATATCCCCGTCCATATATTAATAGGTTAAAAAAGAGACGTACATAATAATATTAAACATTCTTTATACGATCGTGATATTATGATATTATTTTTTTGTGTCAAAAGTTACCACGCGAGCGGGGGGTTCATCTGATGTTAAGTGAATACCGCCGCCCATGGACATCTGCTACACCCGAAGGTTGCAGATGCGTTGACAACCTTTTGAAAATTGGGCTCCGGCTACCTCACTCACCAGACGAAACGGGAAGGTCGTGGTACTTACCCGGACGGGCCTGCCCATTCGTGCAACAGCCGAGGCTACTGCGTGGCTCTACCACAGTTAAATTACTTAATCTTTCATTAAGGTAATAAGGATGCAAAGGGTACTAGAGAACGGCATCGGAGTACATCACAGCGGCATTCTGCCATTGCTCAAGGAAATCGTTGAGATGCTTTTCCAGTCGGGCTTCGTAAGTAACTCATTATATTATCCACATGTCAACAGGCAGAGCGGCCATTTTGTTATCCTGCAAAAGAAAGTAATACATTTTAGATAGTAGTTTTTGTGATTAAGTGGCGATTCACTTTACAAGTGTTTTTTTATATATGAAAAGTAGTCAAGTGAGCAGGCGGTCACTTGTCTTTAAGTGAATAATGGACATTACAAAACCTGGGAGCTTTTACATGTGTTGACAACTTTTAAAAAACTGTTACATTTGGAAGATATGTAAATTCCGCCAATCAGCAGTGGGGTCGCGTGGTGGACTATACCCTAACGCACTCTGTGCAGAGGAGGCCTCATAGCAGACTGCAGCGTGTACTATTCAAAAATTAAAATCTGTTTTAGTCATAAGATTTGAAAGTTCTAAATTAATAAAACTATCGGTTAAATGCCCGTTTCGAAATCAGGTGAAAATATTGTTCGCGACTGAGACTTTCGCGATGGGCGTGAACATGCCGGCCCGTACGGTCGTGTTCGACGATATAACAAAGTTCGACGGCGTTCAAAGCCGCCATCTTATGCCCGCCGAGTACATTCAGATGGCTGGACGCGCGGGAAGGAGAGGTACGTCGTCGTTCATTCTTTCATTCGCTCATCGGCTCTTCTTCATCACGTTCTACAATTCATTCATCCAATCACCATTCTTTCTTTTCACTCGGTGACTTTCTTATTTTAACGTTGCCCTTGTTGTAAGGGCGTTTGAGAGGTAAGTCGTCGTTTATTCTTTCATTCGTTCATCAGCTCTTCTTCGTCACTTCCTACAATGGGTTCATTCAACTATCATTCTTTATTTTCACACGGTGACTTTCTTTTGTAACGTTGTAAGGCCGTTTAACATAGACTTATTTAACATTTACAAACGGCCCGACGCGGAAAATTTATCTGCCATTAACACAAATACTTCTCTAGTGTGGAAATCGATACCACGATCCGCGGCACTGAACGACTGCGCCAAACCAGCGATTATCACAAAAATAATAATACCGAAAAGGTTTAATATATTTTACAGGTACAAACCACACACTCATTTTTTTTTCACTGGGATAAGTACCCGTTAGTTAAATGCTCGGTTATTATACATTCACGTTGGCGTCATGAATACAGAAATTTTTTTTACACTTTATTTGGCGTTTTTGCCATCACTTAGATTTAAACATTCAATGATTGTGCACTGTTGTAGGCCTGGATGATACGGGAACGGTAATAATTCTGTGCAAGGAAGAAGTACCGAACCAAATTAAATTGAAGGAAATGATGCTCGGCACACCAGAGAAACTCTCATCGCAATTCCGACTCACTTACGCGATGATACTAAGTCTATTGAGGTTAGTGACCCCTAAGATCTTTCGAAACGTTTAATTTCTTTTTCAGCCTTCAATGGTATCTTGTGTCAGCCTTAACAGATATGGGATATGATTTCCGTCAAGTTATACCAGTGCTACCACGATGTTTGCCCTTATTGTTATTTTTTTAAATTCAAATTAAGACAACTGCGCTATGGTACCATTTTGCTTATCTTCTCCCTATCGTATAAAGGTTGGAATAAACTTTTTTAATAAATAAATCATTAGACATTTAACATTTGACGTTTTATAACTTATGTTGCCATTTTATTTAATATTTTATCCGATATGCTCGTTCTATTATTTTTTCGTAAGAAGTTCTACATCTTTGGCAGAAAAAAAAATCGAAAAAAGACGTTAAACGTAGTTGACTACAACGGCTTAATTAAATAACTTGGAATTATATGTAAATGACAGCAATTGCTATTGTCTGCCTCCCACACCATGAAGTGTGATCGTACACAAGGTGTCGCGCGTCGTAAAATATCACCCTCATAAGTTTTCCCAAACGCGCCAAAGGAACTATTATAAATAAATAAATATTTTTATGACACATTTTAACACAACGTTCTCGGTACTAGATAACTGATAAAACATACTTAAACATACTTTTCTTTTGTAAATAAATACATAGTATACGTATATAAATATCCAGATACTAAATAAATATCCAAACACTATGTTCATCACACAATATTTGTCCAGCAGTGGGGATCGAACCCACACCCTCTGGCGCAGAAGGCAGATACGCTACCCACTATGCCGTTCGGGTCGTCAAGTCCGAAAGGGACTGCATATATTCACGGCGTCCGCTTTGCACTTAGGGCGGCGACGGTGTCCGTTGAGGGCATGATGCAGCGCTCCTTCCGCGAGTTCCACCAGATCTGCCAGGCGGACAACTTCAGGCGGCAGCTGCAGCTCGCCGAGAGGGAGTACGAGGAGAAGTGCAGCGCCCCCCTCGCCGCCCACCTGGCGCCGCTCGCCGCGTTCTACGACAGCGCCGCGGCGTACCTGGACGTGCTGAACGACATAATGCCCATACTGCTCGGCCAGTCGAAGCTGCTCAAGGAGATGGCGGCCGGCAGGGTGCTGGTGCTCTCCGCCGGGCCGCACATCAACCAGCTCGGGATCTACCTGAACGGGAACGGTAGACGTCGTGATTTTGCTATGATCCGAATGGATCTTTCTTTCTTTAGCTTCTTTTCTTTTGTGAAAACATTGCCCTCACTTTAGGATCACATTGTCCTGTGTTGTATGGACGCTTTGCAAACAAATTTCGCGCGGACAAACAACCAGATGCGAAACAACTATGAGGGTCAGGTCATATAGTAGTTGTTCCTTGGCAGCTGCGCCACGGGGTATCAATCTGCATCAAAACAAAGGTTTATATAAAAACAAGAAAAAAAAATAATTAAGTGAGTGAGCCCGTACAACGGACATGATTTTTTTACCGTTTTTATTGATAATGGTACGGAACCCTTGTTGCGCGAGTCCGGCTCGCACTTGGCCGGTTTTTAAGCATTACGTAATATGTTTCACAGGGCCGCGAACAACTCCATACAAAGTCCTAGTTTTGAACACGGCTGAGCGAGACGACAACAAGTACAACTTCGAGTTGGATGAAAACTGGTACGGACGGACCTGCCCATTTGTGCAACATAAACTGTTGCTACCACCGGAAATATATGGATGAAAACTGGTACAGGATGCTCAGTTTTTCGGCGATGTACGACGCGATAGGTTAATATTTAAACATAATATTTTTTTTTATTTAACGAATGTCATGATTCTTCCTGCACATTCGACATGACATCGCCTAATGTTTATGTCTGGTGATACATTGATAGGTGATATCCTAACTCGAAGAATTTTATTCACTATTCCATTACCAATCAATGACCACGGTCATAACCTTGATTGGTAATGTTGAACCCAAATTATATGTAGATATCTCGTGAGATATGTACATATAATACTATACTACATATAATTTGGGTTCAAGTTTTTACTAGAATTTTAAATTTGACAATCTTGGCGTATTTATAAAAAAGTTGTAATTTTTTTTTAATTTGAAGTTTTTGGCCAGTAATCTTTTGTTGTTTAGTTACTACTGTTATTTTGTCCTGTTACGTTATAGCGGCTTGATAACATAAGTATAACGTATATAGTACATTGTGGCCAAAGTACGTCAGAGGTTGTTTATTCATAAGTATATTTTTTTTATCAGAGAAAGTGGTAAACGAGCTAGCGGTTCACCTGATGTCAAGTGATAACTACCGACCATGGACATTTGCAACACTCGTAGGGTTGCAAATGCGTTACCACCTTTAAATAAATTGGGCCCGGGGTACTCACTCATAAGACGAAATGCACAAATGTACTTCTACTTTACGCCAGTCTTCTGTGAGGTCGTGGTACTTACTCGGACGGACCTGCCCATTTGTGCAACAGTGAAAACTGTTGCGTGGTCCCTACCACCGGAAATATATTCGTACTCGGTTCCAATGAAGCTGAAATATGTTGGTTCCTCATTTTTTGTATTGAAATTATTATTACGAATTCTAAAAAACGCCAATGGTGTTTCCATTCTTTACAATTGAATGTCTAAATCTTGAATTATTTATTATTATCTCTTTTATGATAGTTGTAATTTATTAATTATGTATAATATGATAATACAACAATTTCTTTACCGACATTTCTCAGGTACTGAAGAAGGCACGTTAGACCACACAATACTCTGTATCGCACCAAAGAACATTATTGCGGTCACTAAGATGACCCTAAAAATAGAACCAAGTCTCATCATTCAAGATTGGGACAAGAGACAAATGCCCAGGTGAGCCTGGGGAAAACTAAAATTAATAATTTGAATGGGATTTGAGAATGTATACAAGATATATCTCCTAATTAATAAATAATACGTTTGTGCTTAAATTTATAACCTCAACTACGACAGCTATTTGACATTATTTAAGATACTTTTAAAATGATCGATCCTTGTGTTTGAAATTATTATTGGAGACTATTAATTTATAATACTTAAATTTTTGTGGCGTAGAAGGATCGATGTCGAACGACAATTTTGAGACATATGTATTTTATTTCATCTCTTCGAATACTAATGGTATTCCATCCCAATCCGTTTTCTTTTACACCTGCAGGCACTATCACCTGCATTTCGTCCTATTCAATCATATTCTAGGAGCAGTATAGCAGGGTTTCGCCCCTCCAATAACACAGCAGCTTCTGTGATATTTCACTAATGGGCAGCGCGGTTCGGATAAGTGACCTCACAGAATATCGCCGAAGACTTCCAGTATTATACTTGTTGCGTCTGGTGAGTGAGGGCTTGTCGGGCTCGGGAACAAATACGGGAGAATTCTAATGGGGTGGGTTCGATTCCCGATCCAGACGGCGCCGACACCGATGGCTGGGATCGATCCATTTGAACCATCGAGACATTCGAACGATTTTTAATCGATGCCGCCTTAATACGTTAGATTCAGGGACGCGCCGGTGGGGTCGAGTTGCGCGAGCGCCGTGCAGGAGCTCTCGCGGCTGTCGCACGCGGTGCGGACCGGCGCGACAACCCTGGAGCGGCTGAGCCTCACGCAGTCGCTGAACATCACCACCGGCGAAGTGCTGCAGACGCTCGACAAGATGAACAAGTACAAGGTGCGGCTGGTGGAACTTAAACGGATAGCCGAAAGTGCCGTATTTGTTTCAAAACAGTTCAGGGCCTTTGGTTTACCAAACTCAATTTATATTGTAGCCTCGGTGTGTGGTCAATGTCTGGAACTGGCAGGGCTCAAGTCGGTAACCAAGGAATCTCCGACTCTTACGCCCGGTTTCTGAAACACTAATCATCGTAAAAGTTCTAGAAGCCCTAATCAGCTGTCAAAATGGTTTTTCGAATGTTATTTAAGTTGCCAAAAGGATGGTTAAACTCTTTTAATTGATCAGAATAAACTTCTTAATGATCTTGTTTTTGTTTCTTGTTTTTAAAAAAAAACATTGCCCTCACTTTAGGATAGCATTATCCTGTCGGACGTTTTACAAAAATAAATAGCACGAGGACAAACACCCAGATGCGAAACAACTATCTGTGGGTCGCACAAATAGTTGTCCCGTGTGGGAATCGAAAGAAAGCGAACCCACGACCCCCTACGCCGAAGCCAATACTTTGGCATCTGCGCCACGGAGTCATCAAATCAGAACGATCAAAACAAGGTCAACTTCTATGATCAGTGTTTCAAAAACCGAGTGTTAGCTTCTCGTTGACCGTGGAGGAGGTTATTTAGCTTTGAAGGGAAGACTTTAATAGATCTTCTGGATCGCATTGTTCGTTGGAACTTATTATCAGACCCCATCCATCCAAGTCATAATCATCATAACCTCATCACCGCTCCGAAGCTCGGCGTAATGTAGTATTATTAAATAAGCTTTTCGTCTAGTTACTTATGTAACCGATGGACCGACCTCGTGTATGTTTGGCAACTAAAATGCGCCTTTTTTGGGTATTGTGAGGTCCATGGTAATCACTTACGATCTTAAAAAGTACCCTATGTTCAAAGGATTAGCCTAGCCATAGGCTAATTTTTAATATCAGTATTAACATAATTGTTCGTCAAAGACATCTTATTTATAGAAGATATATATATTTAATTCAGCGATTTGATTTTGCCTCAGGTAGACCTGAGGCAAAATTAAAAATATTAGATAGAACTAATACATATTAGCTCTGGAAAATATTAGGACGTAGTCTTTTATTATATACATATATAAACACCCAGACACTGGAAAATACTATGTTCATCAGATTATATTTCTCCAATAGTATACATATGCAAAAGAATAGTATGTTTAAGTTTGTTTATCAGTTATCTATAGTACCCAAGTACAAGCGTTGGTTAGTTTGGGACTAGACAGAGAACGTTGCCTAAATGGGTGTACCAAAATATTTATTACCATTATCAACGAGTCTTGCTTTCCAGGAGCTCCTAGAATCCCAAAAGAAGTCGACGGACATAGCGAACTTCAAGAGCGAGTTCGCGGCGGTTTACGAGCGCAAGCAGGCGGAGAGGAAGAGGGACAAGTACAAGCGGCTGCTCTCCTTCGAGAACCTCGCCCTGTACCCGGACTACCAGCGGCGGCTGCTGGTCCTGCGCGAGCTGAACTACATAGACGAGCACGACAGCGTGATACTGAAGGGCAGGGTCGCCTGCGGCATGGGCACCAACGAGCTGATCATATCCGAGCTCGTCTTCCGCAACGTGTTCACCGACAAGAACCCGGCGGAGATAGCGGCGCTGCTGAGCTGCTTCGTGTTCCAAGCGAAGACCAACGTGGATCCGACCCTCACGGAGAAGCTCAAAGAGGGCGTGGAAGCCATCAAGCTCATAGACCAGGACCTGACCGCGATCGAGTCCAAGTACTTGGTACGACTATTTCAGATTCGCTCTCTTTTGGCCTTATTATTTGACGCATTGTAATCCATTATCATTAAAATATAGATCAAACATACATTTCCTGTGTCTGCTCAAGAATGTCGTATTAATAAATGTTATTGTAAGGATTCCTGTCAATACCAGTAAATATTTGTTTTGTCAATGATGTATCCATACAAATAATGCGTCTATTTCGATATTATTTAAGATAACCTTTAACTGCAGGTAGGTCAGTTCGAAGGGCAAGCGGAAAGACTGAACTTCGGCCTTATAAGAGTGGTGTACGAATGGGCCCTTGAAAAGCCATTTGCCGAGATTATGGACCTGACTGATGTACAAGAGGGTATTATAGTCCGATGCATTCAACAGTTACACGAGGTAAATTAACTAGCACTTCGGGTAATATATATTAATAAAGCACTTCAGATTTATATGAAACATCTGCTTTAAAATAGTAAAGTAGCCTATAGATGTTCCACTGCTGGGTAAAGACCTCCACTGTACAGAGGCTATTAGGACAGAATAGTCCACCACGCGACCACGCTGCGGTTTGGCGGACTTTACATACCTTCGAAATATTTTTAAAATATGCACGTTTCTTCACGATGTTTTCAGCACGTGATAAGTCAGCACTTTAAATTATTAATTTCATTGGTGCCGACACTCAGGATCGAAACAGGTTGCTCAAGTATTGAATTAAAAGCGAGCGCCCAGACACTGATCTATCACGCCTGTCTAAGTGTTCATCCGAAATAGCATAACAATGTTATCAAACAGCGGTTGTTAAGTATTTAAAAAAAAAACAGAAATATGTAATATAAAGTAAATTATTTTATTTCCTTTCTCGCAGTAGACTTAAAATGGTTATTATAAAATAATTTTATTTACTTTTTCTCCCAGCTCCTAATCGATGTGAAGGACGCGGCTGTCGCTATTGGAGACCCCAAACTACAGGCAAAAATGATGGAAGCTTCAACTGCAATCAAGAGGGACATAGTCTTCGCTGCCAGTTTGTACACAACAGCAAGAGAGACTGTCGTATCATGAAACTCATAGCACTAATATGACATATTATTTATATATTTATATTTCATTGAATTTTACTTTTGTAAAGCTTTGCTAAAGCTGCCAGTAAGCGAACTGCGTCATCTATAATTGGCATAGAATTGAAACGAAGTGATACTTTTTATTTACCAGTATCATGTGGTATGTGTTACTGCCACCTTACCTATCTATGAATGTGTAATTGTCGAATTAAATAAAAATTCAATTTGAAAGTGTTATATGAAAATAAAATGTAATTTTAAAAATATATAATTGAACTTTTAAAAAAAATTGAATTTGAAAAAAATCACTGTTGTAAATAAATGAATTGAATTAATTTTAATGAATGTGAGTCTTGCTAAAATCAATAGTTAAAGCTTATAAAGTTTAAACAATGAGTAATGAATTAAAGTTTGTGTAAGCGTAAATTTAATTTTCTTTTTAATGATTGTTAACAAACTAAATACTGATACACATATGCATTTTTCACCCAATTTATCCTTTTTCCATATAATTGTTTTCTTTATATTCTATACAATACATATATCTTCTTTTTATTATTTAAGAAAAATGAAAACACTTTTTAATTTATTTATTTCACAGTATTTGTAGGTGTACAATTTTTTTCTCTGTTCAAGCGTCTGGGCGGTGGGTTCGATTCCCACAAGGTACAAGTATTCGCGTAATCCACAGATAATTGTTCCGGATCCGGGTGTTTGATTCCCAAGGTTGACTTTAGGCTGGCCATAAAAAATGGAAATCTTTGGCTGTAGAATGCAGTTTGTTTCATCTGACTGTCAATTGTTTTTAAATGGTGGCGCCATTTAAAAAAAAAATATGAAAATATTCGTAGTATGATCTACGATTTTAAGATTCTTCAATCTTCTGTCGGCCGTCCACCGCTGTGAACATCAAAAACATCGATGCTGTGCGCCTTATGATCGAAACAGATAGGAATGTAACCTACCATGAGATTCGGGCATCCTTAGACATAGGCACGAGTCGAATACAATCAATCCTACACAGACAGTTGGGTGTGAGAAAGCTATGCTCGTGATGGATCCCACACAATTTGACCAAGGCTCAAAAAACGGACCGCTTCACTTGGTGCAATGTTATGCTTAACAGATTCAACGAAAGAGCGTCAAATTTGGTGTGGAACATAGTAGCAGGTGACGAAACATGGATTTATTGCAAAACGATTAACGATCCCAAAGCAAAGCAAGAATCGAACGTATGGATCATTCAAGATGAGTCGAAACCAACCAAAGCGCGTGAAAAGTGCATCTAAGCGGATGATTGCTTCTTTTTTTAATAAAACCGGACAGATAGCTACTTGTGCTTCAGAGAATCGTCATACCGTCAAGGGCGGATCCAGCTTTGGTGCCAGGGGGGGGGGGGGGTAACGTAGTCGTGAGAAGTTATAGTAAAATTTTTATAATCATAGATACAAGTCAAAAGTAGGAACTTATTTTTAACCGACTTCAAAAAGAAGGAGGTTATCAATTCGGTTGTTTATATTTTTTTTATGTAGGTATGTTCGGGCATACCTTCGTCTTATATAGAAGGATTTGCAAAATTCATTTTTGTTCGTAACATTTCGTTGCTTTTTATTATCATATATTATACACGGTGACATTTATGAAGGTGCCCAAATTCACACAGGAGGTTCAGACTCGGTAGTATAATCGTTTATTGAAATAAAAACAAACTTTTTTTTTAATTTGGCATTCTATTCCCTAAAAACAAACTTGTTGACGGTGACGTAGTCATTCATAAATGCGTCGTATACTTTTGAAACGAATTTGTGTGTATGAATGATCGCGCGTAAAATAAATGAGTTGCCCATAAATCACGCACTTTCTGAGATAAGTTCAAATGAATGTAATTAATTAATTACGAGTGATTTTAAATATTTATCATTTTTATATAACTTTATTCATGTTTAGAATTTAATAAAAAAAATGGACGCACTTAGAAAAGCCACCCTGTATAGTATTTTTTTAAGTAGCTATTGGTAGGCTTACTTATTTTTGGAATTTCTTTTATTTATTTATTCGTTACCAGATTTTATGTAGTCGTATTGGTTATAATATTCTCTATTCATCTACTCCGCACGCTGGCTCCACTTCAATGACAAGTAGCCTAAGACGGGGACTATCGGGACACGGGTTAATAATAAAATATAATCAACCCAAATGAAAACTCCTAAAATAGCCGTACACCAAATAAAATTACATCGTCCTCATTCAAAAAATGTTCATAATTAACAAAAAAAAATTATTCACTCATTCATTCATAATATTAAGCGCTTCTAATCCATCTAATTAAAGACATAATCCACATTCATAAGAAACGGAACGAACAAACTTTATTTCCCAAAGATGGTCTCGCATATTCACGTCCACTAAACCACCACATCTCACCATCCATCAAAAACGGTCCACCCGTTAAGACGAATCAAACTCGACGCAGTTGTGTTCCTTAGTTACTGAGTTCCTATGGCCACATTCCAGCTCTGTTATCAGACACTGGTTACCATCTAGCACCAAAGAACTCGTCATGACGAATCAAACGAGCCGAGACGCAATAGGGTTGCGTCGTTTCTTTACTGAGTTCATATGACTATCTTCCAGCTCCATCATCAGATCAGACCCTGGTAACCATCTAAAAATTAAGTACTCGCCAAGACGAATCAAATGAGCCGAAACTAGATAGGGTTGAGTCGTTTCATTACAGAGTAATCATAGGAACCTCCCAGAATAACCTCATAGACCTCACAGAAGATCGGCGTAAAGTACTTCTGCTATTTGTCTGGTGAGTACCTCACTCACGAGATACGTTTTCTCTTACTTATTATAAAGAGAAAACGCATCTGCAACCCTATGCATATGTCCATGGACGGCTGAAGATGGAGCTACATCATTAGATCCTGGTTATGAATGAAAGACAAAGTACTCATCAATACGATTCAAATGTACCCAAACGCGTTGAGGCTCTGTCGTTTCATTTCGAAGTTCCTTTGGCCTGCTTCCAGCTCCATCATCAGATCAGCACCATGTCATAAAAATATTGCATTGTCTCGCGATTCACACATGTATACAAAATTTCAGCTCAACCGGTAACCGGGAAGTAAATCAAATTTAATTTGCAAGATTTAATTTGATGATTTAACATTAAAATATTGTAAAAATGTTCATAAAATGAATTTTAATTATGGTAAATTTTTATGGGACCAAATGACAACTATTCTGCATCAAACTAAAGAAGAATCACGTAAATCGGATCATAAAACTCAACGTAATCGGTGTACATACATCGAAAAAAAATATACTAATCGAATTGAGGAACTCCTCTTTTTGAATTCGTATAAAAATATTATATTAATTTAATTAAATATTAAAGGTACTTATATAAAATCTATATTGTGGCAAAAAATATAAAATAAACATTGTTTAACATTTTTAATAAGTAGTCCACCTAGGTCCTGGACCCAGCCCAGGGGGGGGTCATGACCCCCATAACCTGGATCCGCACTTGCATACCGTGAATAGTGACTGGTACACGACGATTGGTTTTCCAGAAGTTATTGAAGAACTGTAAACGCCGTATCATATTGCACCACACGGCCAGACAGACAAACGAATTTTTAAAGGTGAAAAAAGTAGAACTCATTAGTCATCGTGCATACAGTCCCGACCTGGCACCTTGTGACTTTCTGTTCCCAAAAATTAAGAACCAACTACGCGGTCAACGATTTTCATTACCAGGAGAGGCTGTCGAAGAGTATGAAAAACACTTTTATGAGTGGCACAAAAGTTTTTCAAAATTGGTTTAATTCTATGAAACTATGGATTTACGCAAAGGGAGAATATTTTGAGAAACAATAAATTTATTTTTGACCTTTAATAGTATTTTTTTTCTTACTCATTCCGGAAACTTAGTGCGCCCCACGCATGCGTGTCTTTTGCGCACGTTCCCACAGTAGACCTAAAGGAACCTTAGGCTGTACAAAAAGAAATTCACGCACATTGTAACCGGTATAAGTCTATCCTATCCACCGGGGTCCATTTAGGGGTCCGGTCTAAAACCCTACTCATAGTATTAACACAAAACATGTCCAAGTGCGTGGCTCCACGAGTCAGGGTTTTTCATACCCACGGGCTATGCTGCTGACGAGTTCTACATGGTATTCGGACTAAAACATAACATCCATTAAAACGCAAATATAGAACTATAAAAAAATAGAATATAGACTATAGAAAGAAATAGAATGATAGATAGACGCTTGGTAATCAACATCATCACCATCCGCTTTATTACTCTTATTCTATCCTTTATTATGATAAGTTGGCAAGGTAAGCGAGGTTTATCTGATGTTAAGCGATTGTCGCCGCTCATGGAAAACTAAAACTAAAGTATAACACTTCCATTTCACGCCGGACTTTTATGAGGCCGTAGTATTTCAAGGGCCGAGCGTGCAACAGCAGAAAATGCTGCGCCATCTTTTTTTCGAACACAGGCAAGCGGGGAATCTATTTCATTTATTACTCAAATATGTTACAGTGAAGTAAAATCGTAAATCACTCCTATAATAAATCCTTTTAATTTAATTTTATATTCACCATAGCACAAAAGAACAGGAAAATTAGGCAAAGAAAATTGATGTTAAACTTTTCTGCGTTCAAAAATTGTAAAGTAACACTAATATCGTTCAGTTTGATTCGATGGAATGTTTGGAAATCGAAAGTACTTGGTATCGAAACAAAAGTATATTGGAACTAGCGGACCCGACAGGTGTTGTCTTGTAAACACGACTGACTTACCGGAAACAACATTTTTTTTTTTATTTATAAAAAAATGTGGACCGAATTGTGAATCTAAACGACTAAAAATTCTCGACGACCGAAAATTTCATTAAAATCATTCCAACCGTTTAGGAGGAGTTCAGTAACATACTCAAGTACAGAAAAATCACTACATAGTATAAAACAAAGTCGTCCCGCTATCTGTCTGTCCCTAGGTATGCTTAGATCTTTAAAACTACGCAACGGATCTTGATGCGGTATTTTTTATTAGACAGAGTGATTTAAAAGGAAGGTTTATATGTATAATACCTTTGCGCGGGTCGCTAGTTATATCAGAAAGATAACCCTATGGTAGGTATGTTGAAAGTGAAGAAATATATCGAAGACAAAATATCGATATATTGATATTTTCTGGACCGATATATTTAGGACCCGTTGTCCAAAAAAAAAGTTTGTCAAGTATTATATATTTGACATCTACGGGCTTTGTGCTGGATTCGAATTTGAAAAAAATATCGGATATGATAAAATATTTTGATATGATTTTGATATTCAATATTTTATAACGATATATTGGATCCAAATACATCGGCTAAAATATCGATAATTAAAATAAAAATTATCGATGTATCGATATTTTTTGCTCCCGAAAATACCCGACGTGACATTGCAAAATAGTATTGAGACGTCAATTAAAATATCGTGCGTAAAATGGAACGCAAATAAATGCTGTATAGGACGGGTGTTCGGGACTTTGAATGTCTTTTCGTGTTGAAATATCTGTAATTTACATGACTTGTGAAAATTCAATGTTACGATATTGATTTGAATAAATGATATATAAAAACAGTGAATGTGTACGATAGGTATACAGTGACTAGACCCCAGTAATGTGGCCATCATCGCAGAACTATTTTAGTTTAGTGTAAAATTATTGTACAATATTGTAATCGGTCAAGATGATTCAAGACGAAGAATATGAACAACTGGTGATGACCTCGGGGCGTATAAAAGCCCTGGGGTTCAAACCTCAGAAAGAAATGCTTACAAATCACCTCTTACCATATGCTTCTGAGCTGGATGAAGAATCTACAAAATTTCTTGAGCAAGTGAAGACAAATCTGGCTAAGGCGGTCATGTTACGAGAAATGAAGCCGTCTTGCGGTGTATGGTCATCAAGGCTTCTTAAGTGGGTATTTGAAAAATAATATATGTATATATTTACTGGTCATTTAATATATTAATAATCTGTATAAATAAATGTTTGTGTGTATATTCCTAATGGAATCCAAAATGACCAGACCGTTTTTCAGAAAATTTTCTGGCCAATCTTCAGATTATCCCAGAAAGTAATCCTATTTATATTGGTGTGAGTGTTAAGAGATGTTTTTTTGTAATTATTGCTACTGTGTAAAGCTAGGGGCATTTCTAGTCTATTATGATAGATTTGTGTGTATATATATATATGTATTTACCTACTCATCTAAACGCAATTAATAATGCCTAATTAATTTTTTTATACTCATTATTCATTCAATATTAATTTAAAAAAATTATATTCCATTCTATATTGAATAATTATACATAAGTACCTTTTCTGTCTAAAATCATTAGCAACATGTGCCTATGCCATAGTTTCATGTTAACCTTTGGCAGAGAGTCCCAATTCAAAAATAACTTGCTTTAGCCTAGAACTTCCTAAACTAAACACTGACCTTATTGGAATCACTGTCATGACATACAATTTGTTACAAGTACAATTTGGTACAATTCATAGAAATACTTATGCAATATATTTTATCATGTTATAAATTATTGCTAAATAATATTACTAATAGTTTTCCCAAAATCAATGCATATAGGTATAGAATTTACTTACTAACTAGCTGCTGCCTGCGACTACGTCTGCGTAGAGGGGTGAAAATTTAGGGTTGTTTGTCTTTTTGTATGCTGTATCATAAAAAAATATAAACAAAAAATTTTATATAAAAATAAAATAAAAAAATTAAGGTTGGACCACCCTTGTCATTTAGGGGGATGAAAAATAGATGGTGTCCGATTCTCCACCCTGGCTGATATGCTCACAAAATTTCACGAAAATTGGTTGAGCCATTTTGGAGGAGTTCAATTACAAACACAGTGACACACATTTTGTATATTACCTAAATTATTATTTCATTAAAATTAAACTAATAACTCGCACAAGTATTTTACTTTAATATAATAGTGTATGCTTTTCATAAATATTCTTATTAATGGTAGTAATAATCTTTTAATACATTTAAATATCAATTAAAACTGACACCTGTTTCTCTGTATGGCTGGTTCTGGTTTACTAATTTTAAAGAGAATACTTAAATCCTCTAACATATACATATACAACACTTGTTTGGTAACACCTTTATAATGAAAATCATTGTTTAAAAGAGAGAAAAAATTAATGGTTAAAAATGAACACTGGAAAAGTGCCAACATGAAACAAAGTTTTAAATGCTATCTTCAGAGAGTACATTCAACTTTTGTTTGAAAAAAAAAATTGTATGGTAAAGTAAAGTAACAGCCTGTACAAGACACACTGCTGGGCAGAGGCCTCCTCTGCACAGAGGTTATTAAGGCAATGTCCACTAAGCGATTGGCAGACTTCACATATCTTGGAAATATTTTTTTTATTATTTTGAGAATATACATGTTTCCTGTACCATAATATTTGTTTTGCTTCATCGCTGAGCATGAGATAATTCTTAGAATTTACATTGGTGCTGGCACCACAATTTAAACTCAGGTTGCATGCATATTGAATTAAACCTGTATACTGAGCTATCATGGCTCTTTTAATAAAATTCTTATAAATTTATATAAAAATAAATCCATATTTCCCTTGGTCACGCCATCACGCGTGAAAGGCTGGACCGATTTCACTTTTTTTTTGTTGTGTTTGTTGTTATCAGAAGGTTCTAATGAAAGAAAAAATTTAAAATTGCCTGAAAAAGTCTAAAAACAATACTTCTATATTCCCGTACAAAAGATTCGTAATAATACTTATAAGTCAATTTGAACTTTAATACCATAAAGTGTTAGTGGAGAGGTTCCAGGAAGGCAAAACAAGTGAGTGACTGTGGTAAAATGTCACTTGAAATTTAAATGTCTCTTTGTTGTGCATCACTACATGCTATAAAACAAAGTTGTCCCGCTGTCTGTCTGTCCCTATGTATGCTTAGATCTTTAAGACTACACAACGGATCTTGATGCAGTTTTTTTACTAGATAGAGTGATTCAAGAGGGAGGTTAATATGTATAATACATTGCACCCATGCAAAGCCAGGGAGGATCACTAGTAAATTTATAATTGTTATTAAGAAAACTATTTTTTATAGAAATCCTGTGTTTTCGTACAATATTAGTATATAGTTATAAAACTATATACTAATATTCTTAATCTTATTATTTTTGTAAATATGTACATATTAGACTTATTCAAGCTCCGAATAAACTTATGCTATTTTTTCTTACAGATATATTAGAATTTATGGATTGAAATTTTCAAAAGAAGATCACATTGCTTTTATCAAATTGGCATATGAGCTTGTCCTCATACCAGATCTTGAGCCATGCAAGATTCATAAGTTTGCAACATTGTTCATGATGCTAACAAAGTAAGTGGAACAATTAGTGCATCTCTACATTATTTATTATATATAGAAGAAATTGGTTTTGACTTCTCTTGTGTACAAATTCTTTTATACTGGTGTCATTTTCAAGGCCACACATAAAGTTTTAAACCTCAGGGTGTTAAAAAGGGTAGATAAAATTGGCACAGCATACTTATTCAATTGAAAACTTGTATTAAGTTGTAAGGCTTAAACAATCTTCTTTGTAATTTGGGTTATATCAGACTTATATATAACATAGCACTATTAAGTTTTGTATTAAATTAAAATTTAAAGAGTTTGGGTAATTTTTTTATATTAGTGATAATCTTTTGCTTACAGGAAAAGGTATTTGATTTCCCCTGATGAGCTAACCATTCCATGGCGACCACTCTATGATATGGGAAAAAAGATATTTGATAAAAGTGAAACAGCCTTAGGAATGTATCATTATTTAGGGTAAGTTCTAATTGAAAGGCAAATATAATATTTGTGACAGCTGATGCAAAATTGCATTAATTAATGGCATGGTCAATATGAGTTATAAATAATAATTTATTTTGCATCCATCCAATTTTTGTTGAAACTGCCTGTTAGTAATTTTATTTTATTTAAGCTTCCGCGATTACTTTTCAGTAACACTGAAAATAATTATTCATAAATTTAATCCATGCATGTGGTTATGTTATGGTTTTTATATGTTAATCTACTATTCTATTCTTCAAATTGTTTTAAGACAGTTTTACAAATAATCTAGTACTAGTTTTAAGGTTACTTAGTGATATTTCAGGAATTGTTAATGTACATCAATAATATGTTTATGAATTTACTTTTACATTTATATTATGAATTATTTTTGTATGATGCCCTGACATATGTAGGATTTCACATATGTAGTCACAATTAGAGTTGTGTCATTTATTGTGTGTTATTATGTTTGTTCAGGCAAAATTCTGAGAAACGAGAGGTCAATATGATTGAAGTGATTCGAAAATTCCTGTCTGGTTATGGGTTAGATGACGCCCTTAATCTATTTGGACTTTCGGCACAAGATGAAAGCGAACTGCCAATGTAATTTTCAGTACTTGATATACTCATAATGGTTCTGCTATGTCACATTCGCTGGGTATTAGTTGGATGTGGTTCTCAAATCATTGTCTTCATAGGTTCAGGCCGTTCTGGTGGTTGGGTTTTGGGATTGCATGAGTTAGGAGGTCCCAATATTGTGATTTTTACTCAATTATTAATTGCAGGTCACTGGAAGCATCTTACATTGCAATGGTTAATTCCGCCAAACCGTAAGTGTTTTTATTTTTCACACTATCTTAACTTTATCTGTAGAAAGACCATGCATCGATTTTTGCAATGACATGAATGGGCAAGCATGAAGGGGAAGTACCACATCCTCACAGAAGAATGATGTGAAGCAGAAGTGTTATAATTTCTCATTTATTCTGATTAATGAGGTAACCAGGGCCCACTTTTTTAAAATAAAGCATCTGCAACCTCTCTGGTTTTGTATATATCCATAGGCGGCGTTACTCACTTAACATCAGTTGAAACACCTGCTTGCTTGCCAACTTATAACATAACATTTTTTTATTGTTATAATATATCTATTTGAGGTATATAGATTTTTATTTAATATAATGCTTTTGATTCTGAAATTGATATTGAAAATTCCAGCTATTTTGAATTGAATGCAACAAAAGAGATCCTAGAGGAATTATTGCCTCAGTTCTCACCGTGGGCCACGGATGCTCATGTTGTGTCCCAGTTAGCGTTTTATCTGCCGGTGACATTGCCACCGCATAAAGCAGAATTCGGCCATAAACTGTGGTTTGATAAACTCATGGATTTATGGGACACCTGCTACAATTCACAATCTGGCATTAATGTAAGTACACTATTGTTTGAACATTTTACTTTTAGCATTCTTAACTCTACCAAAGGTCACTTTTTAAATTTATTTAAAAAGTAATCTTTAGTAGAGTTGGTCTCATCCTTTGGGATGATAATGATATAGAGAAGCAATAAATACTTTCTCAATCCTATGGATGTCAAATGTTATCCACTCTGCCGACACAGAATCAAAACTTGGCAGTGATGGGTCTGTGTATATGGTGTACAATTATGAGACATAATTCTGTTTACTCATAATAAAACCCTCAAACTGAAAACTCTTGGTACATGTTCACAACTCAGGCTGCAAACTAACATTTAGCAATTCTTAATGTTATTCTCTAAAAATTATATTGTTTGCAGGAATTTATAATGCCGTTTGCAGAATTGGCTAAGCGAAATCCAGGTGCAGTGGACTGGACCCCACATGTTCCCAAAATGTTCATGTACATTCTTCACTCACTGAACTTGCCAGTCAGCTATAAGGATATTCAGTTTGCTAAAAACCATAGCCTAGGTAATAAAGAAGTTTAAATGCATCATTTTCACATGTATAGTCTATATATATAATAGTATAATAATTAACTATTGTATCTCAAAACATAGTCTTTGTGAAACTTTATTATACCCCTGCCTAAAGCCGAACTCTAACCACTGACTAGTGTCTTTAATTTGCGAATAATAGTTTATTATTTATTATTATATTTATAACGATCAATTAGCCTTTGACTGTAGATGATGAGGGCTAAATGTTTTATTAAATTTTATTTAATTGCTTTATTTCTTATATTTTATCATAATGTGATTGGATATTCAAAGACCTTTGAAGCCAGTCGTGTTTTTAAAAATATTAACAATCGGAAGAAATTTTGTAGACATCAAACACGTCGCGACGTGGATTGTTTGGAATATCAATCCTAACGGTGTGGTGCTGAAGCACCTGAAGAGTTTCATGGCGGCAGTCGAGAGTTTTTTACACAGCGCGAACTCAGGGCGCTGGTCTTTTAAACTAAGGGACCTACTTAGGAAGTTAACTCGGGAATTTCTAAGCAGGTTGGTTTTGCATCTACTGTGTCCTACAGCTTCTGTGTTGTTCCTCGCCCCCTTCGAAATTCGAGTTTCAAAACTACTTCCGAATTTCCAGAGTGCGCCGGGAGCGCGAAATCAGGCGCAAAGAGAGCTGGGAGAACAAGACCCCGGAAGACTTAAAGCTTAGGGACGAGGATATAACGGATTTCGTTAAAATAGCGCTCGAGCCCACGCTGCTAGCGGTGTACGGTCGAAGCGGTTCTCTCGACGTGTCCACGGCTTTGCTGAACCTGGCCACGTTGCGGCCGGCCATTGTGATACCCCCCCTACTAGAAAAATTAAGGACGTCGCTAACATCACTAACGGAGCCTCATAGGGTTACGGCTGCCATGTCGGCGGTGGCCGCAGTGGCTAGGCCGATGCTGAGGGGTGCAGACTACGGCTACCCAGAAGGGCCCACCCACGCGGTGCCCATCCTGATAGCCGTCCTCCCGGGCCTCGACCCAAATGACCTGAAGAAGACGTTAGTCACCTTGCACTTCATACTTATCTTCAGCACAATGATGCCGTACATAGACTGCAGCTCCGCGCACGAGCACTGGCCCGACCTAACCGACGAGGAGTTGCTCGTCTGCGAGTCCACCGCACAGTTCGAGGACTTCGTGCTGGTGTTTCTGGACCGGCTGTTCGTCATCATCGAGTCGAGCGTGATGGAGCAGGCGCGTTTGGACACGAAAGACCTGGACGGCATGCGGAGCAAGACGGACGCCGTGGTGGAGACAGCGATCTCGTCGGCGGCCACCAGCGTGCTGATGCAGTGCTCCCCTAAGATATTCAGAGAGGCGCTGAGGAAGTTCAAGTCGTTCGCAACAGAGTCGACTTTCGAGACGAACGTTTCGGGGAGCATGGTGGGCGTGCTGCTGCGCGTCTTCTCGCGTGTCGACGCGGAGGCGACGCTCGCCGCTTTCATGCCGGAAATCTGCCGCGATATCCTCGAACTACTGGCGACGGACGAGGCCCTCCGCGAGGAGAACCAGCCGCGCGACGTCGTCTACCGGCTGGTGCTGCTGATGAACGTCTCGCAGTGCGACGGCACGGCGCTACTCAAGTACATGCCCGAGCTGATACCGGTGCTGGACAGGATCCTGAGGATCCACTCGAAGTACGCGCTGACGCGCGCCTGCGAGGTGCTCAGCGGGGTGTTCTACTCGCTGTCGCACGTGGAGCTGAAGGACACTAGGAGCTCGCCGCACGACTACGGCGAGGCGCCGGCGAAGTGGCTGCCGATACGCGAGTGGGGCCGCGGCTATTTGCTCAAGGACACGAAGCTGAAGTGGCACGTGCCAAGCGAGGAGGAGGCGGCCTGCGCCCAGACGCTGCTGGACCGCTACCTGGTGCCGGAGGTGGCGAGGCTGCGCCAGTGGCTCAGCGGCGAGCGGCCCATGTGCCGCGACCGTAAGCTGAGGAGCTTCACCATAATCAACGCGACCCTCGCCGCCGGCAAGCTGCTCCCGCAGTGCGACGGGGAGCCGGTCGTTCTGTGAGTAGGGAGATTCCTATGCGGTCGACGATGACTTCACTATCACTACATAGTATAAAACAGTCGTCCCGCTCTCTGTCTGTCCCTATATATGCTTAGGTCTTTAAAAACATGCAACGGATCTTGATGCGTTTTCATTAGATAGAGTGATTCACGAGGAAGGTTTATATGTATACATTGCACCCATGCGAAGCCGAGAAGGGTCGCTAGTTCATTATATTTATAGATCCATTGCTTAGTCTTCAATGCAACAGTGAATAGACTTCTACTTTGATAGTGTGTATTTGTAAGATTAGACGTCTGTGATTTCATCCATACTAATCATCAGGTAGGATGGTAGTCACGAGCTGGCCAGTTTTTGAGTAATAATAATACATTAAAACGTTAGTTAATCCGACGCATCAATAGAGCTAGAAAACAGTATAGTAATAGTACTTAACTTCTGCTATACACATTAAGAAAAGTAAAATTTTATACACTTCTGTGACTGCGTATTAATAACTATCCTTTACCCATAATATATTATTACCATAAGCTGTTAGATAAGTTCAAGGCCAATATGAGCGACGAAATTCCGAGAAATGTATTGGAGACGGACTGACTGGCTAACTGGCAAGTAAGGAATGGCGCAATACAGCAAAAAACGGACGGAATGAATGTTTTGACGGCGCATAAGCTGTCCGCATCTTCGATAGGAATGACGAAATACAGCAGAAAGTCGACTGCCCCTTAGGACGGAGTCGCTAGTGCCGGCGACGAGCTTGCCTTTCACGACGGGCGTGAAACACGCCGTCACGCTGGGCGGCCGCAACGTGCGTGCAGAAATCACCAAGCTACTGCTCGCCGTGCAGGCGCGGATGCTCGCCGCTAATACGGACGAGACGCGCGGCCTGGAGATGCTCACGCAGGTATGCTGCAAGTATGCTGCTTGCATTTAGCATTTTTTTTAAAACGTGGCCCTTAACTTTAGGATAACATTATCCTGTGTTGTAAGGACGTTTTACAAACATAAATTGCACGAGGACAAACCTAGATGCAAAACAACTATCTGTGGGTCACACAAATAGTTGTCTCGTGTGGGGATCGAACCCACGACCCCCGACGCCGAAGTCAATACCTTGGCTACTGCGCCGTGGAGTCATCGAAGCATACTCGAGTAAACGCTAATGGCAGACAGATGGCACACTGCACTATATGTACCATGTTTATACATAACAAATGATATAATAATTTTATCGAAAAGTGTCCTCTACTAAAAACACTTGATGGCATAATATACTTCAGTAATTAGTGCTTCACTATTAAATAATAGTGATGAACATTTGTAAAAAAACACGCTTGTATCGTTACACTTGCTGGATTGCACAATATTGGTAAACCTTATTTTCCATATTACTTTTTTTTTTTCATATCACCGCAGAAATTAATAAATCACATTTTATCACGCAATGACTGTCATCGGCTGTTTCATAACAACTTTTAAATATTCCATCGAGTACATAGAACCTTTTGATTTCAAAACATTTACATTTATGTATAATTATTTTTAAATGGCTAGATAGAAAAGTGCATTGCGAACGCAAGGACAATAACCTCGCCCTATTAATCTATTGCGCCCTCGGAAACTCGATGCTTTTTTATGTGAGAAAGTGGCAAACGTGCCGGTGGTTCACCTGATGTTAAGTGGTAACCGCCGCCCATGGACAATTTCAACACCTACGGGTGTTAAAATTGCAGCATTGCTACGGGGTTGCAGATGCGTTGCCAACTTTTAAAAAAGCGGCCCCCGGCTACCTCACTCATCCGACGAACCCAGAAGTGTAACTACTTCACGCCGGTCTTCTGTGAAGTCATGCTATCTAATGCGACAGTGAACACTGTTGTATGGCCCTACCACAGTTAAAAACTGTCATAAACTCACCGTCGGAGGAAGCTTTATATATGGAGGGAAAACATTCAAGCTCAACGCGACTCTCCGACAAACGAGCTCCGTGTCCGAGTGAGCATTATATAGTCTGTGGAGCGAAACGTTCAAGCTTTTCACCCCGCCCGCGGCAGCTGTGGGAGCGGGTGGTGACCGTGAAGGTGACGCGCAACGCCTTCGGGCTCGAGGCGCGGCTGCGCTCGTACAGCGCGCTAGAGCGGGCGCTGGACGGGCGCGGCGCGGGCGGCGGCACCAGCGCGGCGGAGGCCAAGCTGCGCGCGCTGCTCGCCGACCTAGCTAAGCTGCAGGACGACTCGCGGCTCGACCTCGTCTGCGATGCGGGCATCACGCCCTCCGCCCTCGACGCCCTGCATGCCCTCTACGAGCTCTCCGTCAACACCTACAGCTCGGTGAGACGGCACGATTCTCCTTTCTTTAAGAGTAGATGAAGCTATATCGCTCTCTACGAGCTCTCCGTCAACACCTACAGCCCGGCACGACAATCCTTTCTTTAAAAGTGGATGAAGTGAACTAGGAAGATCCGCGCGCCCTCTATGACACTTACAGCTCGGGGAGACGGCACGACAATCCTTTCTTCAAGAGTAGATGAAGTTATCTCGCTCTCTACGAGGTCTCGGCCACACCTATAGCTCGGTGAGACGGCACGACAATCTTTTCTTTAAGAGTAGATGTCTTGTCTGTCTGCCTATACGGTATAAATTTAGTAATTGATTTGAAAGTACCCTACTGATGAGGTGATGACTTAAAATTTCAACCTTTGTTCGGATTCAAACCCTAATTTTATATTATCTCGGATCATAGTCTGTCTATGACTTAGGATTTTTTTACTTAACCGAATTACGAACTTAACTTCTATGGTTTGCTCCGTTTTTGAAATGTAGTAAATTAATTTTTTTGACATAAAAACATAGATCCGATCAAATCACAGGTCCGTATGCTGGCACAAGTCCGTCTGTACTGGATGCTGAGCCACTACCCATACTCTTATCGTGCCCTGGTTCCCAAACTGGTGGACTTACTGGAGGCTGGCGGTGAAGGCGACGAATGGCACGCGAAACACAAAGGGGCGCTCTACATCATGCTGGGTCCTAGATCTGGACCGCTTATAGCCAAGCAGGGCTGGCGGATAGTCCGTTCGCTCTGGCTGGCCGTTCTCAAGGCCCCGCTCAGCGAAAAGCCCAGTATATTAAAGTAAGTCTCAAGTGATCTTGCATCATAATTTGCCTGTTTCGTTTAAATAATTTATCGTAGAGTTGAAAACGTAATTAAAAAGGTCATTGACTAATTATGATCTAAAATAACAATTAAAATCAATTTGCACCAGTTGTATATACTGTCACAATGTCACGGAAACAATTGTAAAAGCATCTGTGGCTCCCTAAAATCCGGCCAAGCAAAGCAAAGCAATTCAAGTGTTGGGTAAATCAAACACATTGACGTATGGCGTATAAAGTACCTATGTTTGTAGTTAAAATATGTAGAAAAAATGCGAAAAGATTGTCGCCGCTGTGGGAATCGAACCCACGTCTTCGGCATTCGCGGCCTGACGCTCTAGCCACTGAGCTAAACGGCTGATTACCACACCGACGAAAATCTTAACGCATTCCTCCACATTGTTTTCTTAGCATTTGAAGCAATGCTTGGCGCCATCTATTGTTATGTCCTTTCCAGCATACAAACAACTTCGAATATCGTTTTACAACGATAATTCGAACGAGAGATGTCGCCATTCCTTTTTTTTTTTTTTTAAATTTTTAAATTGTTTATAGTGCTAATCTTTGCACTTAAGATTGAACATTAAAATATGTAGAAAAAGTGCGAAAAGATTGTCGCCGCTGTGGGAATCGAACCCACGTCTTCGGCATTCGCGGCCTGACGCTCTAGCCACTGAGCTAAAGGGCTGATTACCACACCGACGTTAAGATTATTTTAATGTTCAATCTTAAGTGCAAAGATTAGCACTATAAACAATTTAAAAATTTCTAAAAAAAAAAAGCAATGGCGACATCTCTCGTTCGAATTATCGTTGTAAAACGATATTCGAAGTTGTTTGTATGCTGGAAAGGATATAACAATAGATGGCGCCAAGCATTGCTTTAAATGCTAAGAAAACAATGTGGAGGAATGCATTAAGATTTTCGTCGGTGCGGTAATCAGCCGTTTAGCTCAGTGGCTAGAGCGTCAGGCCGCGAATGCCGAAGACGTGGGTTCGATTCCCACAGCGGCGACAATCTTTTCGCACTTTTTCTACATATTTTAATGTTCAATCTTAAGTGCAAAGATTAGCACTATAAACAATTTAAAAATTTCTCTGTTTGTAGTTTTAAAAAACCCGACGACGAAAACTGTAACTCTTAATTAAATGAAAAAAGTTTCAAATGAAATAAAAATTAAGTGTTGTTATTTGATTGAACTAAATAAGACAAATTCTTAAGGCAATAGTTTTGAATATTAAATGTAAAAATTCATGTATACATACTAATAAAATAATATCCTCTTTTTGTATTTACCATAGGAGAGTAAAAATGTATTTAGTAGCATAGGCATACCATAGACATGCTAAACACAACGACAACAATTGCGTCTTCATCGTATTTTTTTTGTATAGCTATATTTAGTTATTACGGTATTTTTACAGATTAGAGCAAGCAATCGGCGAAACCCTCCATAGACAATTCCCGACGGTGAACACGCGCCTAACTATGTCGCAGTCCGCCATCGATTGCGCGAAACAGTTTCTTAACAATAGTCAACTGTGCGAGCCGCATTTCGCGGAAATGCTCAGCAAGGCGGAGGCAAGGGAAATTGAAGTGTCCGACAAAACGGAGAAGGCATACAGAGATTTCATAGAGGATATGATCGATATAGCCGAATCGCCTAACGTGTAAGTCCAAATAAATTCGATATTACCAACACTCCCTTTTATATTTTTACGGCTTATCTATGACTATACATTCATTTACAACACTTTAGGGATAAGACAGTATAGGATATATAAGCTTTTAATATCTGTTCCAATATAATAAAAAATCATGTAATCTGTATCTCGACCGCCTTAGTTAAAAGTATGGTTTTATTAACAAAATTTTATTAAAGATATGTTTACCAGGCCTAAACAAGGGTTTGTTTTAATAGAGTTTGCTGACCCCCAAGCCGTGTTGTGGTTTATGGCTTAAAACTCCAAACCAACCCTAAGACCGATATTTGTATACGAGCCTATTATTTGCATAGGCCTGTGGCGGTATGACTTATATACGACAAGTGTATATATACCAGGCCAAACGCCAAGGAAGTTAACGCGGCTAGGGAAATACGGGGCGCCTTGTTGCACTCGTGACTGTGGCGGTAAGGCCAATAAGTATGTAGTGGGTGTATTTTGCACGGAGCGTACATTGACCGGCACGCTGTCATCAACTAAGCCAAAGGTCAAAAAGTATACAGCCTTTTGCACGGAGCGTTTGTTGACCAAGCCAAAGGCCAAAAAGTATACAACAAGTGTCTGTTGCACGGAGCGTTCGTCGACCGGCGGGCTGTGATCCACCAGGCCAAAGGCCAAACAGTATACAACAAGTGTCTATTGCACGGAGCGTTCGTCGTCCGGCGGGCTGTGGTCCACCAGGCCAAAGGCAAGAAAGTATACAGCGAGTGTCCGTTCGCCCACCAGGCCGTGGCGGCGGCTGGAGCTGGTGATGCAGATGCTCGCGTGCGCGTCGTCCGTGCAGACGGCGTACCCGGCGCGCGCGGTGCGCCACGTGACGCGCGCCCTGCTGCACGACGACATCGCGGTGCGCCGCTCCGCGCAGCGCCTCGTCGCCTACGCGCTCAAGCAGCGCCAGCGGCGCGCCGCCAAGCTCACCGTCGACCCGTACGCCCTCGCCGGCGCGCCCACGCCCGAGGAGCACGTGCCGGGTGGGCGCTGACTATGATATTCATTCCACGGCTAACCAATAGCTCTCCTAACGCCCTATGTATCTTCACCTTAAAGTGAACAACTCTTGCGCACGCTTCCTAATATCCCTCTTAATGCCTTAAGTGTCTTTTCCTTAAAGTGAACAAAACTCGATTAGCTACGTTTATGTTATGTTCCGAAATGTTAATGTTGAAATCATTGAATATAATACTATAACTTCTGCTTTGCTGTTCAACTCGATTAAGTGTCAAGTGTTAAGTCTTTCTTGTGTATCTGCTAGCTGCTTAGAGTAGAAACAAGTTAATCGCTCTGGCTTCACCCAGTTAAAGATTAAAGTTGTGTCAGTTCCATAGATTACCCAAGCAGTTACAGACAAATTGAAAAATCCACATTTTATTTATGCAGCGTGTCGTTACAACCGCGACAATAAATGAACACACGTCTAACGCTACTTGCCAATAATCATAAAAAAATATAAACATTAAAAAAATCCATAATTAAAAAAAATATTTTTCAAACAAACTAATTAAATAAAGAATGTAAATGTTTAATAAAATTTTAAAAAGTTATCGTCTTTATGTGTGTTCATTTATTGTCGCGGGTGTAACGACATGCTGTATAATATGAGTATAGATTATAGTACCTGACTGATACGTACTTAAGTTATAGGTACTAAAAACCTTGTATGTTAATGTATCGACGTAGCCGGTCTCTTAATTAAATACACAAGTAGTGCAAAGGATTTATTATTCTATTATTTTGCTATCGTTCAAAAATTATCATGACTTTTTTACCTTGGCCCTGAAGTGACGTAGTAAATTTCACGTTAATTTAAGCCGAGCGGAAGGCGCATTTCGATTTATATTTTATTATATATGAATATGTGAATGTTATGATTATTTATTATTATTTCTTAATTTATAGTCTTTATATAAATATATTTATTTTAGGATACAGAAAAGATCTTGAGTTTGCACTGTGGTCAAAGGACTATGTCCCAAACAGTGATGAGGAATGGAACAAGCCGTTTCTAAGAAATTCTACTTACGGCTTCTATGCTTGGCCTAAAAAGCTTAAGGTTAGAATTTTCATAGTATTAAATATTCACTAAATAGAACATTTAAATACTGCTTCCAATTAGTTCTTCCATTAAAACATAGTTATTTGTTTAAAGGTTTGGTTTGTCATAATAATACTGCTTAGACCTTTTTGTTAAATATAAAAAAAAACTATTATAACCAGTATAGAGTTCTGTCTAAAAATTTTCAAACACTCAATTAGAATAGATTTTAGATTAACTGTGGTAGGGTGACGCAACAGTGTTTACTGTTCCACGAATGGGCATATCAGTCTGGGAAAGTTCCACAACTACATAGAAAATTGGCGTCAAGTGGAAGTGTTATAGGTACGGTACTTCTGCATTTCATCCGGTGATTGAGGTAACCGTAGCCCACTTTATTAAAAGGTGGCAACGCATCTGCCACCCCACGAGTGTTGCAAATGTCCATGGATGGCGGTTATCACTTAATATCAGGGGAACCGTAAGCTCGCTTGCCATTTTCACATATAAAAAGTTCCCATCTATTTTTACTCTAATACAGTGATTCTCAACCTTTTTTTTGTTGCGGCACATATTTAACGATTTCAAAATTTGGCGGCACACAAAGAAAAAGATAAAAATTATTTACTTACTACAACACACTGCATAAATAGTTTATGACATAAATTTTAAATATATGAAATAAAGTAATATATACTACGAATAATATATACGCTATAAACTAATATATACGCGAAGAAATACAGACACAGTGTGCGTGTGCAGCAAGTCAGCACATAAGCTCGGGATTCCCCGTGAGATGTGTACACAGTGCACGTGTTCAATCACAGTAGCATTTAGTAGAGTGCGATAAAAACAAAAAAAAACTTATTTGGAAAACCGTGTAAAAGCGAATAAGTGTAAAACAAGTACCGTGTAAATCGGGGGATAAGTGTAGCTGTACTACAAAGTTAATAAGTTTACAAATTTATAAATTGACACTACATGCAAATAAATTAATATTAAACCGAATCACATACATTTGCCAATTTTAACGAAAGAAAAGGTGCAGTAATTACTATGCACACCTTGTGAATCCCAACTATCACTAAAACAACACGTTTTGTACGCAGAAGTGGGAAGTGTGCGCCGACTTGAGACATGTTCCTATTGCTATGCACGCCGCTTCATCATAATTTGGCACTAAGAAAAAATGCGTTGCAAAGCAAATAATAAAATAATTTATTTTTTTGTGGATTTAAATATATATTCATGGTAAAAATATTTTTCTTTTTAAATGATATAATTTAATAATATTAACATTATTATATATTTGCAAAATTTGGCGGCACACTTTTGAAATTTGACGGCACACAAAAGTGCCGCGGCACAGTGGTTGAGAATCACTGCTCTAATAGATTGTTTTCCTTATTGTACATTAACGTACCGTCATGTTACAGTGTGTAGGTTAATGTTGTAATAAATGAGCAAAGGATTAAAAAACATAATTTTTTTTTATGTTAGATATACTAATTAAACTTTTCGCACAGGTGGCAGCACCGTGTACTGAGCAGTTTTGCTACACCGAGCTGAAAGTGGAAGATATGGAGGAGGGCGAACGGCATCTGTTCGAGTTCTTCTATGACGACGCGAACCTCGAACGTCTGGTCGGCTTCCTCACGGTGGAGGAGAAGAAGGGAAAAGACAAATTCAACGGGATACGATTCGTTATATACAAGGTGGGTTTGACACATGAAAATGCTGTGCGTGAAGACGTGTCAAACTACGTCATTGATTTCTGTAAGAGGGAATCTGAATATTAAAAAATAATATAAAAAAACGTATCTGCACTGAAATGCGCGAATATGATTTTTTAAACTCTATCTGTTTAAAATACATAAGCGCACTGCAGTTTTTTGATTTGGCTGCTTTTGCAGAATTGTAAGACTAATTCTTTACATTTAAATACAAAAGTATTCTCAATTCATTTGAATGGTTTTCATTTATTCGGTTATCAAAAATTGTATATTTAAAATATCTAGAATCAGAATCAAGGCTGTACCGAAACTACATTACTTGTTAAAAATCTAAAGATGGAAAATGTTATTTGCCCGTTTGAAGCTAAAATAAAACAAACTCGTTGATGCACATCAAAGATATTAGAAACTCCGAGCTCAACCATAGTCTATAGTTAATAGAGGGTGACAAATTAATACGATGTCCCGTGGCCATCTTCTTTACCGTTGAGATTATGAATATATTAAATGCAAATGATGACGGTTTATTTAAATAACTTGGAATTATTGGTAAATGTCAAAAGTCGCAATTGGTTACCAAGCATCGTGTCGATTTTTGAGGGTCACAAGAAGTATAACTTCGAAAAATGTCTAGATCATCTATAGTTCGGCTGTAATGGAAGCCCCGTCCGCAGCTGCTGTTCTCGCAGTTCGGCGAGCGCGTGGCGGACAAGCTGCTCGCGCACGCGCTGCGCCACGCCGCCGAGAGGCAGGAGGCGCCGCAGCGCTTCGCCGCCGAGGTGGCCTCCGCCGCGCTGCCCGCCGCGCGCTACTGGCCGCGCGCGCGCGCGCAGGCGCTGCACCGCTCCGCCCTCGCCGTCATCAAGGCCGGTCGGTGCGCTCACTCAATCACTCACTCACTTTCATTCACTCACTCACTTCCATACACTCACTCACTCGCCCTCATGACTACTAACTGAAGCATGCAGTGAGCGTGCACTTCGTATAGGGAGAAAAGCTTAGTATGCCCTGTCGATCCGTACAAACATGCCACGCAACACTGGAACTCACGAGTTACAGTGGAGTTATAATTTTATTTTGAGTCAAAGAAAACAAAATGAATGATGAAAAAATATTAAAGGAACGCTAGTCGTAGACACTTTCCGTAGGTAATGCAACGGCTCGTAGGGAAAACGCCTCGTTTTACAAGTCGTTATGAAAATTACGAAGCTATGTAACTAACGGCCGTTCGTTGAATATATAACAGGAACCGGGTATTAATCGTTTGTAATCTTCTCCTTACACTCAGATCCGAAACAATTACCTATGGGTCGCGGATAATTATTTCACCTAATCCATCTATTGTCTCGTCAAAATGGGATAACCTTGTCTCTAATGAAAACCTACTTGCAGGCATATTATCGTAGGTATATTAAAAAACAAATATGAGGTAGATACGACACTAGCGCACTGAAATAACGCCAATTACTTTACACTTTCCGCATCATATGTTCTATATCACCTGTCACATTCACTTACATATGTCATACAATTTTTGAGTCGCCCGGTGTGGACATGCGCCGTCCTTATTAGAACATCACCGCCCGCAGGCCTAACCGCCGTGATGGCGGAGACGACGGACTACTGGGGCACGTGCGTGGCGACGGGCGCGGACAAGATGGACCCGCGCCGCGGCGCGGACTTCCTCAACGGGCTGCTGGAGTTCTGCGCGCCGCAGAAGGGCGACGGCGGCACCGACCGGGACCAGCACGCCTCGTTGGTGGTGTGCGCGCGGCTCTTCGTGCTGCAGGTAGCCACCTTCAGGGGTACCTTCGGCTTCTATATACAGCGTGTCTTTACCAACGCGACAATAAATGAACACACATATAGAGGATAACTTTTTAAAATTGTCGCAAAAATTTATATTCTTTAAACATCAATATTTATAGAGTTATTAAATTTTCCAAAACAAACAATTTTAGAACACCCTTACGCATAAAACTGTAACGAAAAGGTCACAAAGCATATGAATGGCTTGAATGAATTTAAAAGAGACAAAACATACTGTTAGAAGGAGAGGCTTGTAATGTGACATTGTGGCAACGAATGAAAAAGTATCTGAACTGACTGATGCCAGTTGTAGTTCTATAGGATGTTACAAATTTTGTTTCCTTTTTTTACCTTATTAGTTTGTTTGAAAAATATTTTTTTTTTAATTTTGGATTTTTTATAACTTTAATATTTTTTTATGATTATTGGCAAGTAGCGTTAGACGTCTGTTCATTTATTGTCGCGATGGTAACGACACGCTGTATACAACGTGGCGCTACTAACGCGACCATAAATCAACCTATATAAATGGAGGATAACTTTTTAAAATTGTATTAAACCTTTACTTTCTTTAAACTTCAATATTTACAAAAGCTACATTATTGCTTTTTGCAGTTTAATGTCTTTATTGAACTTTTTTAGATATGATATGGAGTTATATCTTCTAAACAATTAAAACAAATATCTTGATATACAGTTTTTGTTACTCTTAGTAATGTATTACTTCAGAATGAATTCACCGATTGAATCTAAATTGGTTTGAAGCAAAATATTTTCTTTAAAAAAAATACATTCGAATTGAGAACCTCCTCCATTTTTGAAGTCGGTTAATAAATATGTTAATAATATATATGTTCGCACTATATAAAATTATAATTTAAAAGTCATAGTAGGAACATAAACAACACAAAATTACTACTGTGTATTGGGGATGATAATTACTAGGGTGTATTGGGGACGCTAACGTGGCGGGTGGCGCCTTACGCTGCCGAGTTGTTGAGGAGATTGGAATCGACCAACTTCATTCAGCACCCCTATCAAAACGTCCGGGACACTGTAGGCAGGTGAGCGCATTAACAGCACGTTATTTGTCATTTTTATTAATAGTCAATGACTCAATGTTTTTAATCGAATGAAATCTTGGGAACTTTCTCCCACTTACGTAAAAGTGAGAAAAGTTCTAATCATACATTAATTGTAGGTATGTTTATGAGAAAACCTGAATATTTTCGAAATTATAACAAAAAACATTTCGAAGATATGTGAAGCCTGCCCAATCCGCAGTGGGGTCGCGTGTCGGATTATGCCCTAATACAGAGGGTATTAGTACAGTGTAGGCCTTCGCCCAGCAGTTGGATTAGTATAAACTGTCACTTTTTAATGTTACACGTCCATAAGGTTCGTTTGAATTTGATGAATGTTACAGCATCCTGATGTCGATCTTCGACACTGAACTGGTGTTCCCCGGCGGTGACAGCGGTCCCGCACCCAGACTCGAGGAGTTCCTCGAGTCCATACGCCCCAGACTCGCCGCCCTGTACGATGAGAACGGCGATTTCCGTGAGCATTGGCGATTTCAATTTTCCCAGCGACGGCTTGCTCGCTTATGCCCGTTTCCTATATTCAACGAACGGCCGTTAGTTACAAGGCTTCGTAACTTTCATGTAGTGGTGAAGAGCGTGTCGTCCAACCCGCTGGCGGGCAGCCCGCCCGGGGACGTGGAGATCGTGGAGCAACTCGCACCGGGGCCCTCCATGGCGCGCGCCGCCCATCCCAACGATGACGAATCGCAGCTGACGCAAGAAGTTTGTCATTTTTTTTTCATTTAAGTCCTCGACCTCCATCCGACTTTTCCGTCATCAGACGGAGAAATCTTTGAAAATACACCTGTGCGAAGATTATATACAACTCTTTTCAAATAGCACACTCACACAGTGGTTTTATTATGTAATGCTTCGGTCCATTTAAACACAGTGTTCTTACTCATCAATGTTAATGTTATCAAAGTGGAGAAATATTTAATGTCACTCATATCCTACCTTCTACGAAGGTCATCGGTACGCTACTGCACTGAGTTTTAGCACATCTTAAAGAAAAATGACGCTCCTAAATCCCTCCCTGTACTGTGGCAAAGGATCACTGTGTCCCTTCCTAGGCCCTCTTGACAGTATAAAGAATCCTATCCAAAACATAACTGTTTAACTGAGTTATCTACACTCATTACAGAAGCGAAACAACGCCGTAATGTTTACGTAGTCTCTTTCGAGTGAATTTTTGAAATTAGAATAATCGTAACAAAACACTTATTACAATCGACAAATGAAAATAATAGTCCCATTTACATAAATGTTTTACATCACTGATATTAAAATCTATCAAGATAATATGTTCAATTATAATGCATATTTTTATAAAAATCTCAATTATAAGAGTTTCACGATTTATTTTCTATCGAAGAAAATTTTATCCCTTTACGATTTCCCTTAAAATGATGCTTTTCAGGTGTCGGCGGCGAGCGGAAGCGGCCAATGTGAGGAGGGAGAGAGTGAGGAGACCGACACGGAAGCGGAGTTGATCGACGAGGAGATCGGGGCGATGCCCGACATGCGCAAGAAGACCGCTCTGCGCTTGAGCAGCGAGGTGCCGCCGGTGCCCTCCCCCTCTCCCGCCCCCGCCGCAGCCGCCGCGCCCATCTTCGCGCCCTGCGACCACGCCAACACCGTCAACCTGCTCACGACTGGTGAGTACACACTCGCTGCGGGAAGATAACTACGTATGAGCACAGAACAGCGCGGTTGTGTGAAGTTAGGGAAGAAGTAAACAAGGTGTGTTATGACAGATAAGATCGCTAACGTTGAGACATACCTCGGCAGGGCTGTACATAACAACTTGGTCAACTTAACTCAGTAACTGGCTCGAAGAGCATCCCTCCTCCCATTTACCCGCTGTCGCCTTACGCGATCGGTATCGTTGTCAACGGTACGCCCCATACTTTCTTCGCTTTTCGTAACTGAACTATAAATTTAAAGTAAAAAAATATGAATAATATATTATTGATTATTATATTGGTAATAAATAAAATTACACATTAATAACGGAAAAATAATGTGCCGGCGCAATCAGCACAGCGCCCCTCACGGATCCCGTATTGAACGATAGACACCACGCCTGCCGTCCGGGAACGTAGCGCGCGTAGTTTAGTCTCCTTCATGCGTTTAATGCGGCACCCCTCATTGCGACAGTGCTGCGCGGCTGCATGGGCCTCGCGGTGCGCGGCGCGAGCGGCCACATGTCGGCGCAGTACTCGATCGTGGGCACCGTTTGCGCGGCGGCCGCGCGCGGGCCTCTGCAGCCGCACGAGGAGCTGGGCCGCGCGGCGGGCGAGCTGCTCGCCGCGCTCGGCGGGGCGCCCCACTCGCCCGCCGAGTTCGAGGCGGCCCTTCAAGCGCTGCTGGCGCTGCCCGCCGCGCGCTCCTGGTGGACGCGCCTCGCGGGCCTCGAGCTCGCGCAGCCGCTGCTCTTCTACGGGCTGCCGATGCTCTGCGAGCGGCCCGGCAGCGCCGTGCGCGCGGAGGCCTACGCGCAGACGCTGATGCGCGACCGCCGGCTCGAGGTGCGCGCTACCTCACTAGTTCTTGTAAAAGGAATTCCATATACGTGGTGCCGAACCGCCGTGTGATGAAGCAAAATAATGATACTGACACCAAATTCAAATGAACAAAAATTTAAAAAAAAATCCGTCAAATTACAACCCTACAATATCCTATAGTACCCTACAATTTTTGTTTTCAATTTTGAATGCTAGTCTCAGTCTATGCAGTCGAAGGTAACGCTGTAGCGCATAAGCTATGCGCTTCTCATTTATAAACACCCACACACGCACAATTTTTTTGTAAGATAATTTTTTATTTTTAGTGCTTTATCTCGCTTTCAAGTTGAAACTTTATATTGTATTTTTTTTGTAGATAAATGAACAAATATTTTCAGCGCTTTGGGATTCGTGCATGCGTCTTCTGGTTTCGCGCTGAGACGCTTTACAAACTAAGCTAAGCGGCCGAGAGTTTTTGTTAATTTATCTACAAAAATTTACAAATCATACATTACAACTACTAAAAATAATTGAGAGCTCGCTAATAACAGCCTATCATGACATTGCAGGTGCGACAGACGGCGGCGAAGCTGCTCACCGGGCTGATGCACTGCCGCGCGCTGCCCAACGAGGATGAGACGCTGGACTCGCTGATGAGCAGCTGCCGCTCTGGCGCGCCGGTGGAGCGGCATTGCGGTGTGCTAGGGCTGTGCGCGTACCTCGCCTCGCGGCCGTACGGCATCGGCCCTCGGCTGGGCGACGTGCTGGCCGAACTCGCGCGCCACACCAGCGCCCCCGACCCCGTGCCGGCGACCATCCGCGCGGCCCTGGCCGACTTCCGCCGCACCCACCAGGACGAGTGGCCGCAGCACCGCGAGCGCCTCACCGAGGAGGAGCTCGACCTGCTCTCCGACCTCACCTCGCCGCCCTCCTACTTCGCCTAAAGCCCGATTCACACTGGTCAATCGTTTAGTGAGGTAGATGAGCACAGAGAGTAAGTACAGCGGTGTAAACCGTCGGACGGTAGCGAGCCAACTTGGCTTGCGAGCTGCTATGCAACTAGACCCGAATAGAATCGCTTTCTATTTTTTATGTGCAAGCGCCCGCTTAGTCCCCGCGAGGCACTTGACTAGTCACTTGCCGTAGTGTAAACAGTCAAATTGGTGCAGGGGCCGGCAACGTGCAACAACATAGCGCATATTGCATAATATAGACAGAAATACCACTAGACTTGCTTTAGTGTAAACAGCCATTTATATGGTGCCTGCCACTGGCCATTGTACTTGTACTCGCTACCTACCCGTCACTGTCCAACCGACTTGACCAACGTAAATCGAGCTTAAGCCGCTGTGCTAGATTAATGGCTAGAAACGGGAAGGGGGTGTTGGTGTTAGTTTATAATAATAAGCTTCATGTAGTCGAATCGCTCCTGTATCTTTGATGTATGATATCATATATTGTAACTTATCATACGCAAGAGTCGCGAACGAGTTTTGAAATAAAACTGTACTGTCTGTACAATTGGTTTTCCGATGTGGAGCTTAAGATTTAAGAAATAAAAATGTGGCTTATGATTCACGTTGATTCGCATAACTTTTGTTTTGACTAACAATATACTTTGCGCAAACATTTGTTGTTGACGCACAACACTTTTATTTTTGTAAACCCATACCAAATATATAAAACGTGAATTGCCTGTAGCATTATGGAAACATTATTTTCTTATACATTTGTTACGATGACGTTGATCTACTACATGGATTTCTTTCCACTTTATGACATTCTAAAAGTTATATTTTTATTAAGGTGATGGCTCCGTTGTGTTGGTTGTACGGGTGAACTGTGATCTATTATTTAAATAATTTTAATGACCACACAAAATATTTTTTTTAAATCCCATGATTAACTATGTCATGGTTTACCATTCACACTAAATGATACTCCTGAATTCGTAATTAGATATTTTGTACAATATTATTTTGTTTTAAATGAGTTTATATTTTTTGTTTACGTTGTTAAGATCTGTTCTTCTTACTGAATAATGCATCATATGTTGTAAAAATGTAAAAAAGTCATAAGCGATTTTATAAGAATTTATGGAAACAATAATAAACATTTATGGAAAGAATGTGTTTATTTTAAATCAATCCTTGTTTAGTATGTTTAGAATTTGAATTATTCCCAGAGTTATCCTAGTTCAAAGAAATTTCATTGATTGCGTAAATAATTTTATGGCTTTTATTTGGTTGAGGGTGGGACTGTATGTTTGTTTCATTTTGATATTTTTTTATACTATATTACAATGCACAGAAGACTATATTTTCACTGGTCTTTAAATTTATATGAAATATATTATAATAAAATTAAATAATACTATATTATATAACAACAAAATAATATTCACGGGAATCTCATTTCATCAACAAATACTTTTGAGGAAGAGATGGAATCCGACTCACGCGGTCGCACGAATGGGTACACTCGTCCAGGGAAGTTCCATGGCCGTACAGAAATTGGCGTGAAGTGGAAGTATTTTATTTTTGCGTTTCGTCTAGTGATTGAGGTGTCCGGAGCCTACTGTTCTATCTAAGATCACTTAACATCAGGCGACCCGCTTGTTTGTTAGGCCAACTTTTCACTAGAAAACAACCCTCTGGTGGTAAACGCAGCAAATTATCAACCCGACACAAACGCGAACATCATCAAGCGCCGCCCGCAAAACATCCTCATCGACCCGGTCGAGGAAGGGGACTTAGATACGTCGGACCCACCGTCGGGGGTCCCGCCGGGTAACACTACACCCACAGCTAGTGTAACAACAAAAAATAGTTCGCCCCAGCCTCCGAGCACGGCGAGACCAACACAACGCGTACACAAGGTACACCCGCGTTCCAGGGCGGTTCTCGCCGCCCCCAACCACCGATTATCGTAACGTAGAGTAACGTGAGAACCGTAACCTCGATGGCCTTAGATGACATACCATAGTTAAACGCACGCATGAACACATGCGTGGCCCTACCCACAGCGGAGTGCCCAAACCCGTGGGTTCTGGCTAGCCCACCGGTTCTGTGTCAGATGAAGCTTTAATAGTCTCGGGACTGAAAGCAAAAACATCAGTTAATACAAGATACAAGAAAAAAAGCAGCAAAAGAAGAGTAAGTGTTTGTAAGTAGAGTAAGTTTTGTGTTGTTAATTTATTAGCAAGACGATCGTTCGCTCTTTACGTAATTAATTACGAAACTCTTGTTCGTGAATTGATAATTTTAGTAAATGTTGTGTTTCCAACATAATTTTTTTTTGTCGTAAGCAATCATTTGACTGAATGCCGAGCAAACGGTGTCATGGTCTTTTCGTCATGCACCAGCTACGTTGTTCTCCCGAGTGCACGGGTTGGGGTCGAGGTGTCGCGACACCAAACTTATCTGACTCGGTGGCAAAAATACTGCGAAGGTGTGTTGAAGAGTACACAAAACTACTTTTATTTTTCGACATAACCTTCATAAAGTTTTATACATTTATTCAACCTGCTTTCCAAGGCTTCTAAACGGTATAATAAAATTACTCTTCTTTGTCCTCAAAAACAGTAGTTTACCGCAACTTTGACCTATTACTGGCTTTCATGATAAAAATTTTGATGAGAAAAATTCGAAACTCCAACCCCGAACTTCCATGGACCCATGGATTCTACAGATGTATGGACGCAAGCATTATCGTTGAAATAACACTTATGAGCAATGGTGTAAGAGGAAATGGGTTCATTCATACGCCCAATTTATAGATTCGCCTTTCGCAACGTAGATGACAACTCGGCAGCTGACAAATCTGCCTGGGTTTCCTTTAGAGCTGGTTCACTAGACTTTTTCCACTGCTTGATTGATGTTTATTCTAGAGAACCAATGGCATTATATAAGTGCTCCATCCTCTATAATGTACATAATATGCGCGCCCCAACGCTTTTAATAGGAAACCTTAAACAAACGGTACCATAGTATGGTACAATGATACAATTTATAGAGAAACGAAGGCCAAGTGTAAGTCTATTTGTTTGAACTAGAAAATGACCTGAAATAAATGACAAAATGATTATTGTACAAAGGTTTTGAGCAAACTGTCTTATGCGAATTTGTCCACAATCAAACATATGTAGTAGCTTCAGCATCAAGTACTAATGCTTAATAAAAAAGATCATGTCCAATAATGGGTCGGAAATGAGATCAAGACTTCTCATAAAAAAAGTTCGAAGTAGAAAATTAAGTTTTGATAAAACTATAGTATTATTAGTTCCTGCAATCATTTGAGTTAGATTGTCATCTGGCATCAAGACACCAGGGTGAGCCTGCTGTCGTAAACTGAGAAACAAACGTGAGACTGACGTTTCCACAAATTCTGTCTGCGTGATTTATGATCTTTGGAAAATTTGACGCCCCATCTGCTGGGCTAATGCACTTTAATAAAAAATGAGGGATTCATAATATGTTAGTCTTGTCTTCTTATGTAATTTTATTTTATCAATAATATACTACAGAAATAAAACAACAGAAATTACATCATAAATCTATTCTGAGCATATTACATGTCGCTTCCCCAGAACAAAAAAAAAAACAATATTACACAGAAATTGTTTTAATTCGAACATCCTCTTTATACAAAAATAGTTACACAGCTGTCTATGTTTTATTTCACTATTATCTTCTATCATCCACATCTGAAACAAAAATCATTATTAAGAACAATTTCATCAACACAATAAAATCTCCAGACATCAATTGTGCGAAAAATAAGCATAAAAGCCATGTGTACCTCTTACACAAAATTTGTACTTTTATGTTGATTAAATGAAACTATTATCTAAGGCTCTTGGTGGCCTGAGTGGCCATGGAACTGTACTGTGGTACTCCAAAGCAGAATGTAATATTATTATATACCACAATAAGAATTGTAGACTAAAAATATTATTAAGGTAGAACAATTCATTTCATTAACTTAATGATAGGAAAAGTGGAAATACAGGAAAACATTGACTTACTTTTTCCATCACAGGCTACAATTTTCACCTTGTCAACTTTGGCAACTTCTTGAACTTCTCTGAATTCTACTTCATTTAACATGAATGTCCAAACATTATCACAGAATCTGAAATTGTAGAGAACTCATAACAATGAAAACCAAAAACATTTTTCAAACAAAAAAATACTGTCTGTAATATACTAACTAAATCTTATAAATGAAAGTGTGAGATTCGGCATCATATGCTCAGTATATCCATTCATCTGTATACCAAAAACCTCAGACTTTACAAATCATAATGTTTTCAAATATCCCACACTAGTGAGGGCGATCCTCTATGCAGGATTCCTTAATATATAAATATTTTCACCTATTTTCAAAATAAATAAATGTTGGATTTTACCTTAATTTAAGAATAATATTGTTATCAAGTATATTCATTGCATGATTTAATTTACTTCTCTAATTCTTAATGTTGTGAAATTATTTTATTTCATAATTATTGTTTTCATTATATTTCTATCCTCCTGATTCAATATTCTATCTACAGATAGATTTGTATGCTGTTTTTTACTGGAGATAGAATTTTGACTTAAGTATTATAGAGCTAATGTCAATACCTAGTAACCAAATCTATCTGTAGATAGAAATTAAATTGAAAAATAATCCTCTGGCCATAAATCAATTAAAATATATGTATATGGAAAATGTGCATGCCTTATTGCAAACAATTCACATTCTTCACTTATTCTATACTAATTGATGAAAACAAGAAAGTGCAAAGAGGTTTATTTGAGGGAAAATCTGTATAGAATATTTTTATTTTAAATGTGTATGATTGCTTTTTTTTATGATAGAAAGTGGTAAACAAGCTGGCAGCTCACCTAATTGCAAGTGATATGTTGTGTGTGGTTTGTTGTTTGGTTGGTTTTTT